ACTTGGGTATACTGGCCTAGAACATGGCAGTTATTCATGTGTGCCAACAGACCTTAATATAGGAGGTAGAGAAATGAGAAAAATTTTAAATCTGTAAAAAAATTAAACCTAGGCCAGGCACAGTGGCTTCCGCCTGTAATCCAAACACTTTGGGAGGCTGAGGTAGGCAGATCACAAGGTCAGGAGTTTGAGACCAGCCTAACCAACATAGTGAAACCCCGTCTCTACTAAACACAAAAAAAATTAGCTGGGTGTGGTGGCAGGTGCCTGTAAACTCAGCTACTCAGGAGGCTGAGGCAGGAGAAACACTTGAACCCAGGAAGCAGAGGTTGCAGTGAGCTGAGTTCACGCCACTATACTCCAGCTTGGGCGAGAGAGTGAGACTCATAAAAAAAAAAATTAAACCTATGTTACTATTGGGCTGTTTACTTCTGAGTTAAATAAGATTTCTGAATCCGAAATCTAACCAGACAGGGAGTGGTGGCTCACACCTGTAATCCCAGCACTTTGGGAGGCGGAGGTGGGTAGACAGATTGCTTGAGCTCAGGAGTTTTAGACCAGCCTGGGGCCACATGGCAAATCCCCATCTCTACAAAAAAATTAGCTGGGCATGGTGATGCACACCTATAGTGCCAGCTACTTGGGAAGCTAAAGTGAGAGAACTGCTTGAGACTGGGAGGCAGAAGTTGCAGTTAGTTGAGATCGAACCACCGTACTCCAGCCTGGGTGACAGGGCATGACCATTTCTCAAAACAAAAAAACAAAACAAACAAAAAAAACCCACAACTAAGCAAGATGAAAAGTTGAGCAATTCTAAAGATTAGGCCAAATTTCTGTTTGTATCTGAATATGTTTATGTCCTATATCATTTCCAAGATCCTAAAAAAAAAAATCAACTCTCTAAATCCTTCATATTAGTCCAGAATTGTCCCCTTGTAAGCTAATTCCTACATTGCCCCTGAATACCACTAACTTTATGCAGTCACCAAGTCCTCTGTTACAAGGTCTTTCAAAGGCTGAAAAGAAACCTTTAAAGGATTTCCAGGATGCATTTTTAAATTCCCCACCATAACTCATACTAGGACTTCAGGCTGAATTACAGCAGACTTTCCATATTTCTTCTATAAACAAATATAAGACCCACATGTTACAAATTGTTTTCAGGTCCTAAAGGTCTATCTAATCATCCCTATCACGTTTGAGACCAATGATGAGACTCTCTTCCCAGTCTTCTCCCTGTCCCACAAAGATAAGGCTCTCACCTCCACCGGCATATATTTATTTCTCTCATCATTATTTATGACTTACCTTGTGCTTACCATCTCCATAAAATTTCAAGGACTACTCTAAATGTGTATGGCACAGATCATGCATGAAATAATTCAGTATGTAATTATACACTGTTACACATTACAAAACTATAACCAGAAGCATTTGTCTGTCCATGTCTGGCATAAATGGCGCAGTTCTCAATCTGGGCAAAGAAACTAAGAATGAATTAGTGAAGTGTTATCCTAGTTCAGGCGGTTCTAGAGGACCAAGTAAATAGTCCAACACCATGCTTAACACCGCTGCATTGATATTTAGGGCTCCTGTACTTTATAATCATTAAAATTTTGGCAACAGTCATGAAATCAAGCACAGTCAAAAAATCATGATCTGTGGTTTTCTTTTTAATTATCTTAAGTCTTATAATCACACATCATTTTTAAATTTGTGTATATCTCTTCTACTTTAATCCTTTAGAGGTTGGCAAAAGCACCATTCCCAATCACAAATACACAGCAGTTATACAGTTTTGTTTCTGAATGGCTGTTTTTAAAGACAATCCTAAATTATAACTTAGTTTGACTTAGATTGTAAAGAATCCAAGAGTGAAGTTTAATTGGCTACTATTTTAAAAGCATGTGACCTTATAGATCATCTATAAAATGTGTGAAGTGTTAAATAATTTTTTATATTACACATAAACCACACAAAATGCCTTTCAGTAAGTAAAAGGAACCATTTTAAATACAGGGTACTCTAATTAGATTGGCATAGTTAAGGCCAAAAATATAAAATAGCCATTGCTACCCGTTTATCTTCAACCTTGCCTTTAAGAGGCAAACGAACACAAAACACAGGTGAATCTTGCTTGGTTCTGAGACTGTGAAGGAATTGCCCCCATATTTAAATATATTCACATAACCAGTCATATAAATCTAAATATAAAACCAATCTCCAGTAAGTTTTAAGATGGCACTCACCATCTTTGCGAAAAGTTTTAACATTACTAATGAAGTCTAATCATATCTTTAGAAGGGGTGGGTGTGACAGAATTTACTAAATTGGAATTACTATTAAAATCCAAAAACTGAACATATTCATTTAACCACAAGCCAGTCTTAGTCTTAAATCAGGACTGCCCAACAAAATATTCTGTCAGTCATTCATGATGTAAATTCTGGTGTATGAGATCTATTAAAGTACGGTACACATAAAAAAGTCATGAGACATTTGTTTTGTAATAAATAAGGCAGTGGCCAATTATTACTCATTAGTAGCTTTTTTGAGATAAGCTATTAAGTCTTCCCTTTCTCCCTTCTTCTTAATGCCGACAAAGATCATTTTTGTTCCAGGGATATACTTCTTGGGATTCTCCAAATATTCCATCAGTGTATCCTCTCCCCAGATGATGCCTAAATGATAAAGAATGCATCCATTAAGTATTTCACACTCCGGAGTTTGCCACAGGTTACGTTCATGCGTTTTGTGCTGTTTTATTTAACAAGTGTTCTCCTCTTACCTTTGTTTTTATTGGCTTCAGTGTAAGTGAATCCAGAGGCCTGACCTGTCTTCCGCCCAAAGATACCATGGAGATTAGGCCCAGTCTTGTGCTTGCCTCCCTTTTCCACCGTGTGACATTGGGAACACTTCTGAATAAAAATCCTCTTGCCTTTCTCAACATCACCCATATTGAATTCTAAAAACGAAAGACCCAACAATAATTTTTCTTCAGGTAACAAATACAGTGTAAACTAATGACCACTCTAGTCACTTAATTACCAATCCATTGATAATTTATGTCATTAAATACTAAGATGAATCTTCTTTTGCTTTAATACTTTTTATACCCAATACTCTTTCATACCAAAAACATTTTTTAGGAGCACCTCCTTAAAAACCTGTTTTTGTGTGTATACGTGAAGGAAGGTTAAAACCCAAGCAAGCAAATGGGAACGTAATTCAAACTTCAGTTTCAGAAGATAAGGTCATGATCACAAACAGTCACAGATACGAAGCAGAACAGCGAACATTAAGTGAAAATCACCACAACTGCAACTTTTAAGAAGGTCTAATCATTTAATCGTACTACAATGTAAAGCCACCTCTCCCTGAGGATAATGCAAAGCACAAATGTTTAAAAATCGGTCCTGGGTCCCGGCGCGGTGGCTCACGCCTATAATCCCAGCACTTTGGGAGGCTTGGAGGGGTGGGTTGTCATCACCAGGTCAGGAGAACGAAACCACCCTGGCTAACATGGTGAAATTCTGTCTCTACTAAAATACAAAAAAAAAAAAAAGCCGGGCGCGGTGGCTCATGCCTATAATCCCAGCACTCTGGGAGGCCAAGAGATTGAGACCATCCTGGTCAACAAGGTGAAACCCCGTCTCTACTAAAAATACAAAAAACTTAGCTGGGCATGGTGGCGCGCGCCTGTAGTCCCAGCTACTCGGAAGGCTGAGGCAGGAGAATTGCCTGAACCCAGGAGGCGGAGGTTGCAGTGAGCCGAGATCGCGCCATTGCACTCTAGGCTGGGTAAGAAGAGCGAAACTCCATAAGAAAGAAAAAAAAAAAAAAAAAAAGCCGGGCGTGGTGGTGGAAACCGGTAGTCCCAGGTACTAGGGAGGGCGAAGCAGGAGAATTGCTTGAACCCGGGAGGCGGAAGTTGCAGTGAGCCGAGATCGTGCTACTGCACTTCAGCCTGGGTGACGGAGCGAGACTCCGTCTTCAAAAATAAATTAAAAATAAAATAAACGGTTCTGATTGTTTCTACCTGCCCAGGGCACAAGAGTAGCTTGACACTACTCCTGCGTGAATTGGAGCGCAGGAGTAGGCTGCACGGTGTCCCCAAGAAATCCCCAACTCTCTTACCGGTGATCCCCCCGAGGTGACCACGAGGTCACCCATCCAGGTCGGTTTCAAGGTGACTGATGAAACCCACGTTTCTAGGACGCCGCAACGATTGAAAGAACAAACATGTGCCCACGAAAAGAACAACCCCTTATTAGAGGAGCAACAGCTTTTGCCCTCTGAAGCAGAAAATGAAACGCTACGCTTCGGTTTTAAGGGAGGGAAGTCTGGCCTATCGTTTCCATAGCCCTTCAACAACCACGACGGAAGAGGACGCGTCTTGCCGTCTCCAGTAACTGACCGAGACCTTAGTTGGGCTTCCGCCCTACCTCAAGCGGTTGATCGCCTGGCTCTCGTTTGACCATAGTCTAGGGTCCTCACGTCCGGCCTTCCCACCCCGCGCGGGCTCCCCTCGAAGGCTCCCCGCGTATCCTCGCGAATACGTGCCCCCCACAGCTCTGCTTCTAACCAGATGCGGCTTCCGCGACCCGCTCTCACCTTTTTCGTGGTTAGCGCAACAAAGACTACCACTCAGAAGCCGGACGTCCCACTCTCTAAGTCCAAGGACACGCCGGTCCGCGCCTAAGTACCAGTGTAAGTGCAACCAAACTCGCTCCGCCCTCCCGCGCCCTGACGTACAGCCGAGCTTGCGGCTACGCAGTGACGTTGCCGCGCTTCATTGGCTCCAGTGCCAATGCTTGCGCCAAGGATCTGCGCGCGCATACCAGCGAGCAGGGTAGGCTGTGCGGCGTGCGTGCCCTTCCTCTCCAGGCCTCTCTTGCCGGGCCGTTACGACAGGCCTTTGGTCAAACGACGTCGCGGTGGTGCCGGGAGGGGTGACGTCACTCGCAGGTCTTTGTGCGCTTGCGTATACTAGAGGGGCGGGGAGGGTGGGGCGGAGTCGGTGGTGGTTTGGCGCGTTACCCTGCTAAAGTAACAGGCCTGGTGATGTAATGAGCTTTGTTTGGGCAGGGCGTTCCGCACGTCCAGGAGAAGACGCCCTAATTCTGGCTCACCTAGAGGTCTCCTAGCTACCGTCTCGTCAGCAGACGACCTTTACCCAGGCTCTGTCATACTAACACTGCTGGCGCCAACAGCATCCCAGAGGCACAGCCTGGAACCAGGAGTTAGACGAGTTGGGCACTTGCTCGTGACCTTGTTCTAGTTCCACCTCTACTGTGTTACTTTCAGTCATCTTCTAGCTCTCCGCTTGTTGGACGCCCCAAGAATGGGGAAGGTGCTGCATTTGCGGTAGAGACAATTATATCTCTGGCCCCTTACCTGTCGGCAACTTTTCTGCCAGCGCCCTCCTCCCCCTCACGTTCGTGTGCAGAAAGAACATGGAAGGTGTGTTGGCACCATCTAAGAAGAAACATGTTTAGATGATTAGAGAATTCTTGGAAATCTAGAGGATTTGCATCCCTTCTGACCTAGGTAAATGTCATGTTCAAGTAAGCTTATGCATGAGGTCTTATTAGAAATAAAGGCGTTAATACCACAGCTTTTAGTTATTATAATTTAAAACTAGATCCCCTTCCTGACATGCTCAGTTCTGTCACTGGTTTTTTTTTTTTTTTTTTTTTTTGACACCTTTACTCCTCAAATTCTAGCCCCATGTTCTGATTAATTTTCATCCTTTCTTGTATTCTCTCCCCTCCACTCCCTCGCCTTGTATTCTATCTGACACTGCCGTATTCAGTCGTATTCATTGGCCGGACAAGGTGATTCACACCTGTAATCCCAGGACTCTGGGAGGCCGAGGCGGGCTAATCACCTGAGATCAGGAGTTTGAGACCAGCCTGGCAATATGACGAAACCTCGTTTCTACTAAAAATACAACAATTAGCCGGGCATGGTGGCACGCACCTGTAATCCCAGCTATTCACGAGGCTGAGGCTGAGACGGGAGAATCGCTTGAACCCGACAGGAAGAGATTGCAGTGAGTTGAGATCGTGCCACTGCACTCCAGCCTGGGCGACAGAGTAAGACTGTCTCAAACAAACAAACAAAAAAAGCATTTATTATGCATGTTATGTGCCAAGCATTTTTCTAGGTACATGGAGTATTATAAATCAGTGAGGACTCTTTCTGGTGGAGCTTACATTCTGGGATCCTTTTTCCTACCCTGCAACTTAAGTAATAGATACCAGGAAACCTTTATCTTAGATCACTTCCAAACCACTGGTCTTATTATTCTGCTCCAATCTTCCATCTTCCTGTATGACTGGAGTATTTTTATTGTTTTTGAATCGTATCCTGACTTCCGGTTCCCTTCTAATTTCACACACTACAACCACAGTCTTCCTATAAAACAGAATCGAAATCACCACACTTATTTAAGACCTTTTGAGCTTTTTGGAGGGGACAAAGAGAGTGAGCATTTTGGGTGTACTCCTTAAGTAGGCTCATTTGGCAAACTATTGAAAGTTTTGAAAGACCAAGCTTAGCAACACGTTGAAAATTCAGCATATCCTTATGAAGGCAGGTCCTGATATTGCCCCTCATATCCCTCTAAGGACAATATTGTCCTTAAGTGGGTAACTTCTATCATCAGAAGTTACTAGTCTCTGTTCATAAAGGAATTGACTGATGAGGTTTCATGTGCTGATACTGTAGATCATATAGATGTGCCAATTAGGTCAGTTAGCCAAGTGAATGGATTGAAGCCATTTTAAATTTATTTTCATGAGAAGTAGAATAGAAAACAGGAAGTTTTTTTTTAACTAAGGAAATTGTGGATAAAGAGTTATTATTGACAGTAATAGGAAGATGAAGAGACAAAGAACAACCACAAAAATGAGTAGTTAGCACCTTCCTGTAGTAAAGCAGATACTATAAATCTTGTGTTATATATGTACTCAAGGGATTCATGATGCTTACAATTTACTTGAGGTACTAAGAGAATTAGTTGAAAAGAACGATAACATTCTGCAAGCTGCTTTGTTTCATATTCATTTCTGTTGTATCTACTCCCCCACCTTCATCTTATCACTTAGGATGGATAGTGGCTGGTAAGAGGTAAAACTATTATAAAACAAATGCTTTAGAGTTCTCCTTCCAACAACATAGCAGATAACATACAGTAGTCTCTCCTTATCCACAGTTTGCTTTCTAGTTTTGGTTACTTGCAGTCAACTGCAGTCAGAAAATACTACAATAGTTTGAAGAGAAAGACCATATTCACATAACTTTAATTACAGTATATTATTATAACTCTTCTACTTCATGATTATTGTTAATTTTTTTTTTTTTTTTTTGAGACGGAGTTTCGCTGTTGTTACCCAGATGAGTGCAATGGTGCGATCTTGGCTCACTGCACCCTCCGCCTCCTGGGTTCAGGCAATTCTCCTGCCTCAGCCTCCCGAGTAGCTGGGACTACAGGTGCACGCCACCATGCCCAGCTAATTTTTGCATTTTTAGTAGAGACGGGGTTTCACCATGTTGACCAGGATGGTCTTGATCTCTTGACCTCGTGATCCACCCACCTTGGCCTCCCAAAGTGCTGGGATTATAGGTGTGAGCCACTGTGCCAAGCCTATTGTTAGTCTTTTACTGTGCCTTATAAATAAACTATATCATAGTTATATATGTACCATATAGGCAAAACCACAGTCCAGCCATACATCACTTAACAATAGGGATATATTCTGACAGATGTGATGTTAGCTAATTTTGTTGTGAACATTGTAGAGTGTACTTACACGATTCTGGATGGTATAGCCTCCACATGGTTTGGCTTTGTGTCTCCATTCACATCTCATCTTGAATTCTAATCCCCACATGTGAAGGGAGAGACCTGGTGGGAGGTGATTGCATCGTGGGCATGGTTTCCTCCATGCCGTTCTTGTGATAGTGAGGGAGTTCTCATGAGATCTGGTTTTTTGATAAAGGTGTGGCATTTCCCCAGTGTTCTGGGGAAAATGTGTTCTCTCTTCTGCCACCATGTAAAATGTGCCTGCTTCCTCTTCTGCCATGATTATTAGTTTCCTGAGGCCTCTGCAGTCATGCAGAACTATAAGTATATTAAACTCTTTTCTTTATAAATTACCCAGTCTCGGGTATTTCTTTATAGCAATGTGAAAACAAACTAATACAAGCCTACTACACACTTAGGCTATATGGTATAGCCTACTGCTTCTAGGCTAGAAACCTGTGCAGAATGATACTGTACAGAATACTGTAGGCAATTGCAATGCACTGACAAGTATTTGTGTACCTAAACATAGAAAAGGTACCGTTAACAACAACAAAAAAAAGGTTGGGTGCAGTGAGTCACACCTGTAATCCCAGCTACTCGGGAGGCTGAGATAGGAGATGCGCTTGAATGTGGGAGATAGAGGTTGCAGCAGGCTGATATCATGCCACTGCGCTCTAGCCTGGGCGATAGAGTGAGATTCATCTCAAAAAAAAAAAAAAAAAAAAGCTGGGGACAAGTGGCTGGTTATCACTTAACTATACCTACTTCTTAGCAATTCAGGCCCCTCCCATAATCCTAACCTTGTGACCTTTCATTGTTTGTCAGGGGTAGTTTTTGGTTCCTGAACAAGTAGGGGGTTGGTTTTGGGAAGGAAGGACCTATTATTGTCCTCGCCTTATAGTTAAACTATAAATTCCTCTCACAGTTAGCTTGGCCTATGCCCAGGAATGAACCCACAGCTTGTGAAGTTAGAAGCAAGATGGAAATAGCTATGTCAGATTTCTTAGACTTTCATCATTTTTGCAAATGCAGTTTCAGTGACACTGGGAGCAACAGGCATCCATGTCTGTTCAGTGGGTTAGAGCAGGGATCCTCAACCACTATAGGTCTGTGGCCCAGTCTGTGACCTTTTAGGAATGGGGCCACATAGGAGGAGGTGAGTTGGGGTGAGCAAAAGAAGCTTCATCTGTATTTACAGCCACTCCTCTTCTCTCACATTACTGCCTGAGCTCCGCCTCCTGTCAGATCAATGGTGGCATTAGATTCTCCTCTAGCCCTATTGTGAATTGTGCATACAAGGGATCTAGGTTGCATGCTCCCTATGAGAATCTAATGCCTGATGATCTGTCACTATCTCCCATCACCCCCACATGGGACCATCTAGATGCAAGAAAACAAGCTGAGGGCTCCCACTGATTCTACATTATGGTGAGTTGTATAATTATTTCACTATATATTATAATGTAATAATAATAGAAATAAAGTGCACAATGGATGTAATGTGTTTGAAACATTCTGAAATCATCCTCTTCTGTGCCCTGGTCCGTGGAAAAATTGTCTTCCATGAAATTGGTTCCTGATACCAGAAAGGTTGGGGACTGCTGGGTTAGAGGACATGGAGTGGAAGACCTGAGAAGGAAGAGAAGAAGGTTCTGTGCCAGACTGGCTGTATTTAGAAGACATTTCATATTACAATCTTTTTTGTGTGCATTTTTTTCCTCATTACTATAAATATCATTGACAATGCTAAGTACTTTTTTGAAATATCTAGGCTTTGTAGATATTCAGTACCTAATATATATGTTAAAAGTGAAAGTAGACATTGTAAAATAATACAGTTTTAAAATATCTTTTTACTAAAATTCCTTATGAAATGTTGCTTACAGGGAGAATGGCCAAACCACCTCTTGAGTAGTACACATTGTTTGTGTGCACTGTTTCAGGGAGGAGAGAGGAAAAGGAAGTGTAAAGAGCTCAGGCCAGTGTCCACAGTGAGGCAAGATTAACCATTGTTCCTTACTTCTGTACCTTTTATTTTTCTTTATCTGTGTATGTAAAGGATAAACAACACCTAACTTACATCATCTAATCTTTCTAGATGTTAAAGAGGCTGCTTGTGTATGACAAAAGTAGAATTAGTAAATGAGTGTGTTTATACATTGTTTTAAAATTTCCAGAAAAGATTGTCTTCTGAAAATTTGAGCATTATTGACCACTGGGTTGATGGAGATGGGAAGGGTTCTAGGCCAGAATGTTCATATTTTAAAGATTCTTTCAAATTTTAACTATTCTTACATGTGTGCAGTTTATTCAAGACTGCTGTGCATAGTGGACAAAATAACTCCTTATGTATGTTAAATGTAGCGGTAGTAAAATATCACTTTTTGCTAAAATTTATAGGAAATATTGGCTTTTGAAAATGGAATTGTTACATCACTTCTGTGAGCAGTATAGTATTGTCTGTATTTGTTCAGTGGTTTAGAGGAGGTAGGAGGGAAGGAATTGTAAAAAGGTAATAGGCTAGTGTGTTCATACTTGGACATTGTCAGGAACTGTTTTTTTCTGTATGTTTTGCGCATTTTGTTTTGCTGTGTATATAGTGTATATAATGGACAAATGAGTCTGAATTTGCAACATTCAATCTCTAGATGTTAAAGAGGTTGCCAGTGTATGCAATGCAAAGTACCTAGTAGAATTACCACATTTTATACACTTTGTGTTGAAAGTCATAGGCAAGCTTGCCTTCTGTAAATGACTTTGGATATGAATTTGTTCAACCATCTCTAAGCATTACACATCCTTATGTTTGTCCACTGGATTGAAGGCAGAGAGAAAGAAGTGAGGATGGAATGGTTCAAGGCCAAAGTGGTCGTATTTAGAAGATCTCTCAGATTGTGAACCGTGTAATGTGTGTTCAGTTTAACTGCTGTGTATATAGTAGACAGGTTCTGATATAAAATATCTAGTCTTTGTAGATATTCAGATGTGCCTGATGTTTTAAAAGTAGTAGAATAACATTTTTTGTAAATAGCTTTTAAAAATTAATGGAAAATATTGGGTTTGGAAGTATAATAGAATTGTTAAACCACCTCTGTGAATAGTGTACTCTCTGTATCATTCATTGGGTTGAGGGAGGTGGGAGGAAATTTGGAAAGGTATTTTGCTAGTGTGTACCGTGTGTACTAAAACATTTCAGCTTATCTATTGCTCTATAGATTATGTTCATTTAACTTTTCTGTACTGTATATATTGTGTATGTACTGGACAAGCAAGTCTTAATTTTATAATACCTAATCTCTGGATATTAAAGAGGTTGCCAATGTGTGACAAAAATAGAGTTAGTAGGCCAGGCGCGGTGGCTCACACCTGTAATCCCAGCACTTTGGGAGGCTGAGGCGGGCAGATCATGAGGTCAGGAGTTCAAGACCAGCCTGGCCAACATAGTGAAACCTCGTCTCAACTAAAAATATAAAAATTAGCTGGGTGTGGTGGCTGGCATCTGTAATCCCATCTACTCAGGAGGCTGAGGCAGGAGAATCACTTGAACTCGGGAGGTGGAGGTTGCAGTGAGCCAAGATCATGTCATTGCACTCCAGCTAGAGTGACAGTGTGAGACTCCAACTCAAAAAAAAAAAAAAGAATTAGTAAACTAACATATTTTGTTAAAAACAAAAAGCAAAAAATTGAGCATGCTTGGAGTTTGGCATTCTCTGTCATCATATAAGGCAGATTCATTAGCTTTCACATCAGCAGAGTTAAGGGAAAGGCTGATGTCCTCTTAGTTGAGGAGCATGACTATGACAATGTCTAAAGAGAAGGCTGCACCATCCTTGCATGGAGGTAGGCAGAGTGAATACCACATTTAGAATGTAATTTCTTACTAGTTTCCATTTAACCTAGGGAAACTGGGTACAAAGCTATGAAAATTACACAAAACTTTTATGATTGCAATCAAAACCTCAAATTTTTATACTGGAGAGTTGCATCTTCCAGTTTATTATTCAGAATTCCAGTCCAGTGATCTACTGTATGATAAAGTGTACAGTATATCTCCCTCACCTCAGACATTCCCAACTGCATTACATATTAAGGTTAAAGAGAACCCAGTGATCAAGTCATGTAACTGACATTGTTACTCTGATTTCTCTAGTGTTATTTCACCATGTAAACTTTTACCTTTTGTCATACTTAACTAGTGCTGTGCAGAATGCAGTTTGGAAAAAAATGATCTAACTTTAGTCCAGAATAGTTTTAAAGAGGTTATAACCAAATGACATGTTGGTCATAAAATTAAAATAAATATTCACAAAATACTTAAGTTCCTCATGAACTTCCATGATATACCATGTTTAAAATCTACCTCTTGGCACATTAAATGAATTGACTCGCATGTGGGAGTTAGCCAAACTCTCACAGAACACACTCCAGATATGAAGATATGGGGCTCTATAATAAGTGATACCAAGCCATCCTTTCTTGCTATAAGTAGAACTCACCAGTTGCTAATTAACGCCATTGCTAGATCTTCAGTAAAACAATTTTATCTCCATGAAGGAAATAGTTATGTTTCTTAGTCAGAAGGTTAAAAGTAAGGAAACAATTCAATTTGTAATTTGTACATGTGGAGAGTTTTGGCTTCATCTTTTCACTGACTTATTTTCTTTACATGTTTATAGGAACAAAGTCCACATACTTTTAAGATAATATAGATTGTAACACTGTCCATCCCTCAATTAACTGGGTGTTTGAGTTTTGTCCTTTCTAACTAATGCTATTATGTATAAAAATTTACATAAAGGGACAGTGTTCTCATATTTATTTTATTACACTACTATAATTTGTATGGTTATTAATTATTGATCATTTGAGTTCTTTCCAGCTTTTCATTTGTTTTGGTGAAACGATGATGTAAACTTTGTTGTAAGCATTGCTTTTTATGATTTTGGAAAATTTCCTTGGAGCATAATCTGAAGATGAGAGATTAAAGACTATGCATTTTTCTAGTTCTAGTATTTTATTGCCATATTGTTAAACTTTTCAAGAAGTCAGACATCACCTTTTCTGGATTCATCTAACCAGATAGTAACTTCAATTCCTGAAAACATAAACCTCATTAACAAGGTCCTTGTGGCTTAATCTAGAAAACAGAATCCAGTAATATGAAGGAAATTCTGTTATATTTTTTAGTTTCTTGCAAGTGGCTGGGTTTTTGAAGGGAAGAATGAGTATGTCAATTATAGAAATAATAGGAATTATGGCCATAGAATTGGTGTTTCATCCCTGAATGCTCCTTCTCCCTGAGGTCTTTATGGTTTTCTAGAATCGATTTATGGAAACGCTTGTGTGCATCAGTTTTTGAAAAAGAGTTCTTAAGCTCCAGCAGGTTGGTCTGAGGCTTGGCCACTCCAGCTCTAGGAATCCAACCAAGAATAGGTCTTGTTTCTTCATTGTTATCCATGTTCAAGACCAACTCTTCTTCTGGCTTACTTAAAAAATGTTCTAAAGTGAAAGCTTCCATGTCTTGTTTATTTTGTAAAATACTAGGTTTACTGAGGCTAATAGGGTTTGGACACATATCATACTGATCATGTAGGGGAGATTTAAGATTTTCATAGTGAATCCAGTGGTTTGGTTTACAGTAAGGTGTGGGATGGGTTTTTAATGACAGCTGTCTCCAGTATAAATCTTCTGTGTTTTTAGTATCTGTGATTTTTGGAAATGGCTTTATGTCATAAGTGCTAGTCAGATCTTTTGTTGGGTAAAAAGATGGGAGTTCATAGGCAGACAACAAGCTCTGTTCTTCTATAATCTTCTCTTCAATATCCTGGTTTTTATGGGTCATACCGGCTGGTGTGTTATCACTAAGTGCCATCATTTCTTTAGAACTGGGTACAAAGGTATGAAAATTACACAAAACTCTAGGAGTACAATCTGGACAAGAACGTGGTCTTTCCTGGACAATAGCCTCCAGAGAACGCTGGTTCTGAATTAATCGGGCAATTCGTCCTTCCAAGGGTCCGGGAGCTTTTAAGACAGGATGGAATTTTTCTTGCTGTAGTTGTGGGATAAAAAGGAGAAAAAAATTAATCAGGGATATTGCCACAAATGGTATGTCAAAAGTCATACCCATTTTCACTGTTTGAGTACACATGAGATGGGTGTAGAAGGATATATTGCAACACTCTTTGATATGAATTTAAAGACGTTAATTTAAACACTCTTTGATATGAAGGAAATTTGGGTCCAAATACATTTTTCTCCTTTACTGGTTTTAGCAGATGTGAAAAGGGCATGTTTTTTATTTGGCTATACAGAACTCTTCTATGTGGTAACTCGGCTTTTAAATTTCAAAGATATAAAGGAATAACGAATAAAACTTGTGTCCATCACTAACAGATGGCATTAGCAGTGTGTGCAGTTATTTAATCTTAGCCAGAGTCTCCTTTCTTAGGCCAAAGCCAGTGCCCTTAAACCTTGGCTGAATCAGAATCATCTTCAGAGCTGGCATGAAATTTCTAAGCTCCTAAGACCCTCCAAGATTGTGAGTCAGAAGGTTTGTAGTGGATGATAGGAAGCTCAATTTTCAACAAGCATCTCAGGTGATGGTGAGGCCGGAGATTTACTGTGGTTTGAGAAACGCTGGTCTGAGGTGTCATGTCTGTGCTTCTTTTTAAGTTGTTTTATAAATATTAACTCGATTATGTCTGGTAACTGCAAAAGTAGTGAGTGTATTTACAGTGGTATTAATAGATACATGCTGGGTGGCGGAAGGAGGATGGAGTTGACTGGGAAGGGGCGTAAGGAGATAACTTTCTGGAATGATAATATTCTATGTTTTGATAGGGTTTGAGTTACAAAGGTCTATGTCAAAACTCAGTGAATGTACACTTAAGATTTGTGCAATTGCATTGAACTTCATTTCACCTTAAAGAAAAAAAATGCAAACAAATATTGAACTCTGGTTGACCATATATATATACATGCTGAATGTTTAGGAGTGAAGTATACTAATGTCTGCAATTTAATCTAAAATGCATACAAATAATATATTTTTATTATTTCTGGAAGATGGATAGTGGGATGGAAAGACTGATGGATGGTTAGAGAGATAGAAAGATGGATAGATTATGTTTTAAAACAAGCATAGTAAAATGTCAGTGGTAGAATCTAGGTGGTGAGTAAATGGGTGTTAATTATAAAATTATTTTTACTTTTCTGTATGTTTCAAACATTTTATAATAATACATTAAAGTAAAAAAACTACAAAAGAATGTATGTATAATGATGATAGAATTGACAGCAGAGATAACACAAATGAGAGTGGTGAGAAAATAATCACCTTAGCTTGGATAAGAAAATGGACTTAGGAACATTCTTTGGGAAGCTAATGTGTTCATAGTAGGAGAATTTCCATACTGAGGTAACAAATTTGTTACAGTTTGAGTAATCAAGTTTGAGTAAATACTATGATAAAAAGAAAAAACTCCAGCTCTTTGATGTGCTTTGTTGAATTTGTCATAAAAATTATCATACTATTCTTTGACCAGTAGTGTCATATATATTCCTGTGTGCAAGAAGCAGTTTTTAGTGCTTTTATTTTATGCTACTACAATAAAATATTTCATACATTTTTTTATTACCACTAAAACATGTTTTCCCAGTCTGTTCTTTATGATTGAGTCAGAAACCAGCAAGATTCACTTAAGTTTTCTTTTAAACTTCCAATTATCTTAGGTATATTTTATCTTGTTATTCATAAATATTTAAAAGTTGATTTGCTTGCACAATGATTTCGCATATATTTGGCAAACATCTTGTATATAATGAAATATATATTTTGTACATACCATACAGGATTGAATCTCTGGAAATCTGGACAGTCGTTGAACACATTTGACAACATGTGTCATGTGTTCATATAATATTTTCTTTTTTTTTTTTTTTTTTTTTTAAGAGATGGGGTTTCTCCATGTTGGCCAGGCTGGTCTTGAACTCCTGACCTCAGGTGATCCATCCACCTTGGCTTCCCAAAGTGCTGGGATTACAAGTGTGAGCCACTCTGCCCGGCTCATATAATATTTTCTATCCTTAGAGAATGTTCATTGCCAGGTTAAACATAAAAATCAAAAAAAATCCTTTAGCGAATTATAAAGCACAGTCTATAAAACTGCTCTTGGTGTTATGATTTTATATCACCTTAGGAAATGATGAAGTTAATGTAAAATAAGTATGTTCAGCTCAGTTTTTTTTTTTTTTTTTTAGACAGAGTCTTGCTGTGTCACCTAGGCTGGAGTGCAGTGGCACAACCTCAGCTCACTGCAACCTCCATCTCCCAGGTTCAAGTGATTGTCCCGACTTAGCCTCCTGAGTAGCAGGGACCACAGGCATGCACCACCATGCCCAGCTAATTTTTCTATTTTTAGTAGACATAGGGTTTCACCATATTGGCCAGGCTGGTCTTAAACTCCTGACCTCATGTGATCCAACTGCTTCGGCCTCCTGAAGTGCTGGGATTATAGGCATGAGCCACCTCACCTGGCCTTCAGTTCCCACTATCCCCAGATGGAGTTCTGCTCTTAAGCCCAGGCTGGAGTGAAGTGGTGCCATCTTAGCTCACTGCAACCTCCGCCCCACTCTCCTGGGTTAGAGCAATTCTCCTGCTCAGCCTCCTGAGTAGGGAGGAATACAGGTGCCCGCCATCATGCCTGGCTGATTTTTGTATTTTTAGTAGAGATGGGGGGTCTCACCATGTTGGTGAGACCAGGCTGGTCTTAAACTCCTGAACTCAGGTGATCCACCCGCTTCAGTCTCCCAAAGTGCTAGGATTACAGGTGTGAGCCACCATGCCTGGCCCAGCTCAGTTTTTAAAGTGTTCAAATTAAAATAATCTTGCAGTTGTTTTTCCACGTGTTTTTCACAATTTACATCTTTTTAAAATGTTAATTTTGTTTTCAAAATTTGTGGTCTTAGATAATAAAATTTAGGTGGCAAATAAAACAACACATATGCAAACTATTAGGTCATTTCAGGTCATTTACATAATTAAGCCAACAGATTATACCTTTGCTTGTTAAAGGGCTTATTTCTTCCAGGCCATTTCGCATAATCAATTTAAAAGTCTCTATTGATATCTACAGAGAATGTATTGGCTTTTAATTGTAATTCAGGCAGCTCTCAATTATTATGACTATCAGGAGGAAGCCTTTATCTCTTCAAAAGCCACAGTAATGTACAAGGTATATAAATATGCAAAGGGCCTGGCGGGTTGGCTCACGCCTGTAATCCCAGCACTCTGGGAGGCCGAGGCAGGTGGATCACGAGGTCAGAAGATCAAGACCATCCTGGCCAACACGGTGGAACCCGGTCTCTACTAAAGATACAAAAAGTAGCTGGATGCAGTGTTACGTGCCTGTAATCCCAGCTATGAGGGTGACTGAGGCACGAGAATTTCTTGAACCCAGGAGGCATAGGTTGCAGTGAGCTGAGATTGCGCCACCGCACTCCAGCCTGACAACAGAGCAAGACTCTGTCTCAAAACACACACACACACATATATGCAAAGATCTCATTAAATTAAATTATTTTGTAAACTGCTTCTTTTGTAAGTTATTTCAGCAAAAGTAGTATACTAGAAAATCTGTTAAAAATAAAAAAGGCACTCTGAAGAAGAAAATCTTGCTTGTTTTTCCAAACAGCAGACAAGGTATTCAAACCAGTTCAAATCAGCTCAGAATTCACTCCTAAAATGAGTTAAAATTTCCCTTTGCTAGTTTGGTTGCCAATACCCATGACATAAAAAGTGGCAAAGCAAGAAGCCCAGTGCTCTCCCCACAAATAACTGAGAGTTGACTGCAATTACTTACAGGCTCTGGGTCAAATCCTATCTGTCCTGATAACTCTGCTACCATCTTTTCATGGTAATCATCCAATTCAAGGGGGTCCATGGGCCCCAGACCTTAAATGAAACATCAGCTTATTATTTTGTTAGGGTAAAGGAAAAAAAACTTACCCATTCCCTTTAAAATACAATTAGAACCAATAAAATGAAAAACAACCTTACCTCCCAGCTACCCATGAAGAAAAATTTAGCACCCACCTTAATTCCTATTACTTAGGATTTAAATACTTAGATTGACAGGCAAAAATATGAGAAGATAAAAAGCCTGTCATAGCATTTCTTAAATATTACAATTTTGTTCTAATTTTTACTTGTATGAAAATGAACTCATACCTGTAAAATCATGAGTGTACGAAGTGAGCCAGTGGGACCGCTCCAGATTTCTCTGTATGTTGGCTTCTTTTGCAGAGCAAATAGGGTCCCACGAATTTAAAGAAGTGTTAGGAGCGAAGGTTTTCGGAGGTTTTGGGTAGAATACTGGCTTATTTTTCTCTACACCTCTAGGAAACTAAAATAGGAGCATAAAAATTACTGCTGTTAATGTCATCTAGTAGAATAAGAGCTGATTCATCATCTCAGCAGGAAAGAGGCAAAGGAAATTCCAGGCTTAAGTCAGATACTGTTTTTTTCTGGCATTAATTGCTAGTTAATTACTAATTGCTATAATTGGAAACATATGCAGAGTTAAACAAAATATTGTATCAAATAAATGGTAAGGTCTTTTCTAAAGTCTTTTGCCTTAGCAGGGACTTTGATAATGTGTATTGGAGAAATGTCCCTGAATACTCTACCTCCAGTGAAATTTGATTAGAAATACAAAGGGCTCTGAGCTGCTCTTTTGGCTAAGTCTAGTCAAAATTGTGTGCATTCTACTTTTCCTTCCATGCCTGAAATGAAACCATTTGATGTCTTTTATGAATTTCCAATGAAGTTTAAATCATTCAAATTTTCATTCTTCAGAAATAACTATAGGGTTTTATTTTATATTTTCAAAAGGGCTATCCGTGTAAATATGAGTGAGTAAATGAGTTTCATTGCAGTGTTTTTGGTTACTTATAAATTCACCTTTTCTCAGTATCTCTCTTATGTGTGATACTTAATATTTACTGAGCACCAGTATGTGCACAGTAGCGTCTGGAAACAAGCAGGGATCCGAAACAAATCTTGCCATCCAGGAACATATTGGCTAGTAGGGGAGATAAAGCTTGAAACACAAATGACAAGAAGATTTTTAAAAAGTAATCCTTCATCATGAAAGGAGTAAAGACACTTTTTTTTTTCCTCTCAAGAGACAGGTTCTCACTCTGCCACCCAGGCTAGAGTGCAGTAGCACAATCACAGCTCACTAAAACCTCTAACCCCTGGGTTCAAGTGATCCTCTGGCCTCAGACTCCTTGACAGCCAGGACTACAGTCCTGCACCACCACTCCTGGTGTTTTCTTTAAAAAATACCTTTTGTAGAGAGAGGGTCTCATCATGTTGCCCAGGTGGGTCTTAAACTCCGGACCTCATGTGATCCTCTTACTTCAGCTTCTCAAGCGTTAGGATTATAGACATGAGCTACTGTGCTCGAACATGAGAAAAAATTATTTGAAAGTTCAAAGGAGATGAAGGAGATGGGGAGGTTAGGGAAGGATATCATGAGGAGAAATGCCAGATTAGGTGATGGGAGGACGGAGGCAACAAACCACCTTTCCATGTAAGTACCTATTGCAACAACCCTGCATGATCTGCACATGTACCCCAAAACCTAAAGTACAATTTAAAAAAAAAAAAGAAAGTTCAAAGGAGGGAGAGATTGAATCCAGCTGAATGGGGAAGTGGAGCTAGGAAACAGGGAGGGAGGGAGGAGACAAGAAGGCATGTCATGTTATACACAGAAACTGGGCGTTGAATGACATGCAGAGATGAGATGGCCAAAGAAATAGCAGGAGCAGAGGTATGGATAGTGGTGGCAAGTGTAGAACTAGCATTTCTTGGACATTACACTGCTGGGCACCCTCACAGCCAGGCCCACCCCTAACACTTGCAGGGGCTGGGATGAAAGTACCAATGGAAGTCTGTATTCCATTTGTCTAAATAGTTTAGTTTAGAAATCAAGTGAATAAATGTTAAATAAAATATGTTTCATTCACCTGCTTTGACCAAATATCTTTGGAACAACCTGGAAGACCAGGTTCAAATTTGGACTTCTTGGACTACTTTGAGTTCTGCACTGGGACAGGGTGGCTCAGGAAGAGCCAGCTGCTGGCCCTCAGCCTCAGCACCCTGACTGCTTTCTTTACCCGCTCCATTGACCCATTGCCCCACTTCTAGCAAACAGGCATGCAGTCATGTCTTGGTCACTCCTTTGCCCATGAGGTATATACCAGCTTCGCAGTACTGTCAACGCTTGGGAGGATGGACTTGAGGAAGAAACCCAAAGAAGGGCCTAGGATTGGGTTCAGAGCCATTTGGTAAGGGAATTTGTGGTTTGAGATCATGGTCAGGGGAGGGAGACAGGGGAGCATGGGCTCCAGATGAACATACCCTCTTGCTCCACAGAAAGGGCCACAGCCAGAGGAAGGCCAGAACTGGGCCCTCTAAATAAGAGGCCTTCTAAAATTCCTGGGTCTCAGGGTTATGCTATTCATAGCAACCCTGTGAGATTGGAGTGATTCCTATTTTACATATAGAATACTCATTGTAAAAGGCACTGCTACCCCTATAAACCTTTAAAAAATATACGGCTTACTTATTCAGGGAGAAAGAAAGCCCCCTTTGATCTCCTTATCTTTTTCATTATTTGCAGAGCCAGCTTACTTGGAAATAAGAAGGACTTTTTGTTTTTTAAGACAGAGTCTCGCTCTGTCACCCAGGCTGGAGTCCAGTAGTATGATCTTGGCTCACTGCAACCACTTAACTCCCGGGTTCAAGCGATTCTCCTGTCTCAGCCTCCCGAGTAGCTGGAACTATAAATGTGGGCCATCGTGCCTGGCTCATTTTTGTACTTTTAGTAGAGACAGGGGTTTCACCATGGTTGGCCAGGCTGGTCTCGAACTCCTGACTTCAGGTGATTCGCCCGCCTCGGCCTCCCAAAGTGCTGGGATTACAGGCATGAACCACCATGCCTGGCCAAGAAGGACTTTTAAAAAAATAATTTTCTGTGGGGCTGAATTAATCTTGTGTCTTACACTGGTTGAACTAACAACAGAGACCTACTGAAATGCATGCAAGGGCATGGGAAAGGAAATGACCAATGTGAAATTTTATTGTAGCCTGTGATGACTTGAGAAGGGGCTAAAGAACCAGGAAACATTTGAGAGGGGAACTGGTCAGTTTTCAGTATGTTAAGAGGATGTTATTCTGAGAGGATAGTCAGAGAGGGGTGGTAGAAATCATTCACTCCAAAGGGATTTATTGGCTCAATATACATACTAAAGGCAGGGTAGAGTTTGTATCTGATATGAAAGATAAGCCCAAGGCAGAAAGGAATTCTAGTTCCTGTGATGTTAGTTTCTAGACAGACACTCCAGTCTACAAAGAAGTGATATTAGCTGTTTTGAATTTGGACTATGTTCTTAGAGGAATAGTACTGTATAAATTGTGGTTGCATTCCCAGCATAGCTCATATAATTTAACTCATAACCTATTTAATAAACATCTACCGAATGCCTATTACATGCAAAACCATGTACAAGGTTCTGAGAGTTCTGTGCTAGGCACCAAAACTCCATAAATTGTCACTAAAATAACATGGTTATATTAAATGAAACAAAAAAAGCAAACAGAGTTTTTTGTTTTATTTTAGTCTTGAATTATAAGGCTTAACCAGGTAAAATAGGGGAGGTTAAAGGTTTACTGTGGAGACCACATTGCCATTTAGAGAGACTTCAGCATTTGGGAATACTGGTTCTTAATTAGATCATATTTTAATTAATTCTATTGTATTAGCACCATTTTTACACTAACAGGTTATGATTGAGGCACTTTGTTCTTTTACATCTAGAATGAAGAGAGACAGAGATGGAGAGAGGGAGAAAATAAGAGACTGGCAGAGAGAATTATTTTTGGCATCTAGTCAGGGCTTAGGAAAGAGAGAGGGCTGAAGGGAGAGGAGGACGCCTGGTTGGATCACAGTGCTGCCTGAGATGGAATGGCGGGAACATCGTGGGTGTGAGGCAGAAGATGAGGAGAGAGACAGTTTGTTTCCCATTCTGGGCACGTCGTCTGTCAATGGGCCTGAGCAGGTGAGAGGGGGCGCAGGGTGGTGTCGTCCACACAGAGGTGCACTGTGGGCTTCCAGGTATTTGGTAAGATGACGCCTTTCTAAAGGAGTTAGATTGCCAAATTCATTAAGGCCACTTAAGGATGCGTGTGGAGTATGGGTGCTACATTGGAGAGAAAACTGTCCCTGAAATGAGGAAAGTATCTATAGGATGGGGATGGGCATTTTAGATTGGAAAGATAGCAGGTGGATCAAGAAGAAAAACTGCTCGCCTTTGAAGGGGTGATATGGGTGAGCTGTCTTTCAAAGGAAAGCCAAGGCTCTGTTGAAATATTTAGGCATGCAGAAAACTGGGTTGTAATGACCACTGTGTTATTCTCGGTGAGGCTTTGAAAATGGTATTGTTTAAAACATTTCAGAAAGTCCAAGGTAAGGTTTTTGGCACTTGACTTTTGTGATTATATCTCATCTGATCAAAAAATGATTACGAGGTAGATTTCATCCTAAACACTATTTTTGTGTCCTAAAAACTAAGGCTAGACACTCAAGTTCTTGAGAAATAGGACAAAAGTCTTCAGCCACTTGAGTAAGCAATGACATAAACAGCCCAGAAAAATCAAGTATTAAAACCTATTTATGGGCCGTGCTCAGTGGCTCACACCTGTAATCCCAGCACTTTTGAGGGCTGAGGAGGGAGGATCACTTGAGACCAAGAGTTTGAGAGCCACCTGGACAACATGGTGAACCCCTGTCTCTACTAAAAACACAAAAATTAGCTGGGCATAGTAGTGCATGCCTGTGGGCCCAGCTACTCTGGAGACTGAGGCAGGAGAATCACTTGAACCTGGAAGGCAGAGGCTGTGGTGAGCCGAGGTCATGCCACTGCACTTCAAGCTGGGTGACACAGCAAGACTCTGTCCCAAAACGAAAATAAAACCTATTTATGTTTGCCAATTGTAAAAGAACAAGGAATGCTGATTGGTTTGGTAGTGGTTGGAAATGGTCAGTGAGAAGAGATCTCAGTGGGAAGAGAAGGGTAGCAGGAGAGGCCCCAAATAGAGTGATAAGTGCAGTGATCACTAATGACTCTAGTGGGGAAAACTGGACCAGTCCAAAGAGACAAAGCTAAACCAGCTCTGAGGTCTGCGTAGGAAAGGAGCGCCTGATCTCAGTAGCTGCTGAAGGCATAGCTGCTGCATCCACATGCGATGTGAAAGGAGGAGGGAAAAGTGACATTTAACACACTCTGCTAACATGAAGCCCTGGATCTTAATTTTTAAAACGTTAACCTTCTTACGTGAAATATTCTCCCTTCCAAGGTTACCCATTTCTTTATGTTGCTAGGTCAGCAAAGTATAACCATTGGAATAACAATACTGATAGCAGCTAACATTTATTATGAGCTTATGATGTACAAATATAGTGCTGGGTGCTTCTGTATGCATTTCATTCTCGGGATGGCACTATCACGTATATTTTATTATTATTCCTGCTTTATATATGAGGAAACTAAGGTACTGAAGGATTATGTATGTTACCCAGGTCACAGAACTGGTGTTACAGCAATATATTATAAATATTTTCTTACTGGCTTGGATGGAAAGTACTAACATATGGTTCCTGGAGTTTTCTGTTTTGCAGGTAGGTGACGCATTTTTGGACCTGCTTATCAGGTTAGTAGTGTCCTTCCTCCTTCCCTGGGTAGAGTAGGAGGAGAGAGAAAACTATTATCCCAGAAATGCAAGTGACAAGTCCGTAAAAGCAAGGCATTATTGGTGTGAGTTCCATTCTCAGAGAATGATTTAATTGATGTGGGCTGCAGGTGATTCTAATGTGCAGCCAATGTTGAGGACCACTGCTCTGGCAATAGGTATGGTAAGCACTATAAAAATCCTCCTGAGCCTGGTGCGGGAGTGCACACCTGCAGTCCCAACTACTTAGGAGAGTGAAGCAGGAGAATGCATGAGACCTGAAGTTTGAGGATATGGTGTGCCACGATCGCAGCTGTGAACAGCCACTGCACTCCAGCCTGGTGTTAAATAATTAACAGACCTGAGAAAGACAGAATCTGTCTCTCGCTCTCTTTTTTTTTTTGAGACAGAGTCTCACTCTCACCCAGGTTGGAGTACAATGGCACAATCTCGGTTCACTGCAGCCTCTACCTCCCAAGTTAATGTGATTCTCCTGCCTCAGCCTCCTGAGTAGCTGAGATTACAGGCATGCCTGACCACGCCCAGCTAATTTTTGTATTTTTAGTAGAGATGGGGTTAAGTCATGTTGGTCAGGCTGGTCTTGAACTACTGACCTCAAGTGATCCACCTGCCCTGGCCTCCCAAAGTGCCTCCCAAAAGGATTACAGGTATGAGCCACTGTGCCTGGCCATCTCTTTTCTTCATTTCTCTTTTTAAAAAAATATTTTAGAATTTAAAGCATTTAAGTAAACAAAAACCAACTCATAAATTAGGCAGTCAACAAACCAAAATAGGGTCAGAGAGACTGCCACTGCCACGTGGTGGAAGAAGGTTTATGGACAAAAAAAGGAAAGTGACCTATAGGAAACAGAATTGAGATATAGAAATAGTGGGATTGGTTACAGCTTGATGTTTATCTTATTTGAACACAGTTTGAACAGTTGGCTGCCTTTGATTGGCCAAAACTAGGTGATTGGCACAAGAGTAGGTTACAGTCTGTTTGTTTATGCATCCAGTTAGGTTACAGTTTATTCTGTATGCAGAAATCTTTAGGCTAAACTTAAAAGACGTGAGGAGGCAGGTGTAGGCTAAACTTAACAATTCCCCCTTTCTGGTTACTGGACAACATAAGACCTCGTCTCTTTAAAAAAAAAAAAAAAAAATCCTCCTTTAATGAGAATAGAACATTGTAGATAAAGACTCTGATTACCTCCCCTAATTAAATGATAAAAGGCCAGAAAAATAGGAAGGACAAGTACAGGGTATTATCCCAGAGATTAGAGAAAAAAAAGGTGAGTCATGAGTTACTCCCATGAAGCTCAGTATCTATTTTATTTTTACTTCTTTGTCCAGGGAAATGCAAAGAAGATCTGAAAGGTTGAAAATTAAGAGCAGTTAGCACAGATTAAGAAAGTGGGATTAATCATCAGAAATAAGAAATAAATAGACTGAATAAATCAGCCAAAAATATTTATGTACAATGCACTGTGGGGAAATACATATAACATATTCTGTTCTCAAAGAACTCATAAGTTAGTTGATAAAATATGAAATCCATGTTAAAAGTTACTGGTATGTGTGGTAGAAGTCAGAAGAGGGAGGTATCACTTCTGCTGTAGTAGTAATAATGCCTTATGAATTACAGTATTTTCTAGGTTTTGAATCTTTCATATGATCTTCATATCTTGTGAAATTTACAGGACAGATTTTAGTGAAACTACCCAGATATGTTTTATGAATTAAAGCTCAAAAACGGGAAATAATCTGCCTAGTATCAATTACATAGCAAATGGCAACAGATGACTGACCAGGAAGGCCTCCTAACCTGGTTCTCTTTGTTACATAGCAGGAACAGGGAGGATTGAGCTAAGCCTTGAATTAGCAAGTGTTGGGCAGAGAGGCCTTGGGAGGAGGGCATTCCAGGAAGGGAAATGGCATGAACCTGTTTGGGAACCAGCAGGTGGGACCAGGCTGCAGAATGGAGGTAAGGCCAGATCCTGAGGGGTCTCTGCACCTCAGTTAAAGCATTGGGATTTACACTCAGACAGAGGGGAGCTATTCAGGATGGCTGCCTGCCAAGGAATGTGACATGAGGAAAACAGGATTTTAATGACTAGGAAGAAACTTAGCTACAGATCTGGAGTCTTTGGCTATAAGAACATGTAATGATAGGATGGGTTCTAGAATAACATCTCATATTTCTGGGTTGCTTAGATATAGATTATGCTTAAAAACTGAAAGAGATCCAGTAAAGCAGATGCTTTGTCAGGTATTCTTCTTGATATTTAACTTTAAAAAACAAATGGGAAATGACATATTTATAGATGACTGTGTGACATGGCGGTGACCACATGCTGGGCCTGCCATAATGGTTTGCCAAGTAAAAGTCAAATGTTTCTAACCTTCCAAAATGATCACTTGCATATCTGATGGATGGCTGGATGACAATAGATAATATATGGAGAATACCTGGCACTGCTTCTCACCCACCATGTTAGCTATTATTATTTTCAAATGTCTAGATATTTTTCCACTTGATTTATAATTTTCTTTTTATCTATGTGGAGTTATGGGAGAGAGGTTAAAGTCAGAGACTAAAACCACACAAACCTGAGTTCTGTGATCATGACATAGTCACTAACTCTGAGTCAGTTTCCTTATCTATAAAATGGAAATGATGATGCTAACCTTAGGAGGTTACTGAAAGGGTTAAATGATGTATTGTATTTAGAGTAGTTAGGTGTGTACCAATTTCTCAATAAATGGTGGCTACTGCTTTATTTCATTTTAGATTTGACACCAATGTGCTAATAATGGTTGGAACAATAATAGCTTGTAAATCTTTCAGGAAATCTCCCATTTAGTCTGCATATTTGGAGCTACTGGATGTATTATAAGTCATAAGAATACGGTTGGAGGAACACAGTGTGAACAATGCAGCCGTTCCCCTACCATCTAACTGGGGGCAATCTTCTTTTTTTTTTTTTGTAGCTGTGGAATGTTTGGTACATAACTACCAAAAGTACATGAAATCAGCTAAGAAAATTAAAAAATATAAATCATAGTCAAAATCTCAAATTTTTCATTCAGATAGAAAATAAAAATCTTTTAGATTTTTTTTTTTTTTGAGATAGAGTCTCACTCTGTTGCTCAGGCTTGAGTGCAGTGGTGTGATCTTGGCTCACTGCAATCACTGTTCAAGCGATGCTCTGCCTCTACCTCCCAAGTAGCTGGGGCTGCAGGCATGCACCACCACGCTTGACTAATTTTTGTATTTTTTAGTAGAGACAGAGTTTCACCACGTTGGTCAGGCTGGTCTCAAACTCCTGATCTGAAGCAATCTGTCCACCTTGGTTTCCTAAAGTGCTGAGATTACAGGCATGTACCACCATGCCCAGCCTAGATTTTTATAAATGTATTAACTAAAAATATTTTTTACTTTCTTGTAAACACACATTTAAAAAGATACTTACATCATAATATACACCCTGACCTGGCCAAGTCAGCGCTTTCTTCTTTGAATCCATGGGAATATCAAGCAGTTCGTATCTGTAAGGATTACCTGAAAATTTCAAGAAAAGCAATAAATAAGAACAGTTTTGGAAGGGATAAAAAGGTACAATAAATAGAAATGAGATAATATAAGGTAGAGATGCATGTTGGTGTACATTTTAGCCACATAGTTACAGCTTTAGTAATTCAGCTTGCTCTTTGTTAGGGATATACTGCCTCAGAAAACCCCCTGAGGTGAGTTGACGCCCCCCTTCCCTCCCCACCACCTGGCACCCTGATTGCTCTGCAGCTGCATTCCTGAACTCATATGTAGGTGCTACAATTAAGCCATTTTGGGCAACTCCAGGGAGGACAGGGAAAACAAATGTTTGTTATCCATATTTATAAATTCCTGTTTTACACATACCTGTAAAAATCTTGTTTTTTTTAAACTGCCGCCACAGAAGTCATAAGATGATGACTTGTAAGTCTGTCACAAATTAAGAAACTATCTCTGCCTGTTACAAGCTGATAGATTATCTCAGTCCTGAAACTCCCTTATGCCCCTCTCACCCCACATAAACCCCTCGTTTTGTAAGCTCAGGGCTGCCTCCTCTGATTGTTATGGGGCAGCCCAGCAGGTTAATAAAACTAGTTTGCCTGACTTTGGGTCTATTCTCCTTTCTCTCGGCTAACCTTACATATTAGTGCCGAAATCCTGGATGGAGTAGGTTCTGGCTGGGCACCTTAGAGGGCTCTTTTTCTCTCCCTCTATCCCTCCCTTCCTCTTCTATCACTTCTCTCCCGGCCACCCTCCCGTTTCAGAACCTGCCAAGGATCTCCCAGACTCTCCCATTGCTAGCCACCTCATCCACCATCAGAGCCTCGGCTGGGGTGAGTAAGAGAGACTCTTGCCACTTACCCGGAACCTGACCCTCTCTGCCTTCCCGAAAGACCCAGCGCTGGACCAAGGGCTTCCTCCAGCCTCCAGGCTTCTGGTTCCTCCGTTTCAGGGACTCAGCGACTACCTCCTCTATTCTGAACAAGGCCTGAGAGACAGGCCTTGTCAATCAGCAGTCTCTTCTTCCTCTACCTCCCTCTCACATCCAATGTGGATGCCTGTCAGTCTACCGCTTCCAAAACTAACCCCCTTGGATGTCTCCTATGTAATCTCAGTGCTCTCGGCCTCTGTTCTAAGGCCCATCCTAAAAGGCTTATTTTTTTTTCTGTAATACTGGTTGGCCTCAATAGAAATTAGACAATAGCTCCCAATAAATGGTACTTTTAATTTCAATATACTTAGAAATTTAGACAACTTTTGCCGTCACAATGGGAAATAGCCTGAGATTCCTTATGTTCAGGTTTTCTTCGCTGTCTGTAGCCGTCCTTCCCTCTGTCAGTCCTGTTCTACTTTTCAAATTCTCCTTGCTTGCTCCAAACCCGACTCTCCCTGTCACCCTCACCACGGCCCCACTGACAGCTGGTCTCCTGCCACACTCCCCACAGCCCCAGCCTACGACTCCTCTTTGACCCCGCAAATTTTCCTCCTCTTTGACAGAATCATAATCCCCCACCAGAGAGCATCATGATCCTCTACCGTATACCCTGCTCCAGCCCTACTCCTTCCCTACTTCCAACCACCCCACTTCTGACTCCAAGTCCTCGCCGTCTCCACCCCTTACCTGTTCCCGAGCCCAACAGGCCCAGCAACCAGCTCCCTTACTTCCGCACTGGGAGATAGCAGGGGCTGAAGGAATCGTCTGTGTCTATATCCCCTTCTCCCTCTCCGATCTCTCCCAGATTGAAAAAAGTCTTGGGTCCTTCTCCTCTGATCATGATACTTATATCAAAGAATTAAAATAATTCTTATAAACTCAGTTGGCATAATCTCTATATTATCCTCTTGTCTACCCTCCTTCCGGAAGAGAACGGAAGAGTGTGGCTTCCTGCCCAGGCACATGCTAACAATCTTCATTGGCAAGATCCTACTAAGCCCATAGGAGCTGCTGCCGTCCCCCGGGAAAAGCCTTCCTGGGGGTACCAACCCACAGACCCTGGCCGGGCATCCTGTAACCACATGATTACTTGCCTTATTGCAGGCTTTAACAAAGCTGCCCATAAAGCCATAAATTTTAAAAACCTCAAAGAAAGACACTTCCCAAAAAGCGGATGAAAATCCTGCCCAATTCCTTTCCTGCCTTACAGAGGCTCTCCAAAAATATACTCGCATCAACCCTACCTCCTGAGTAGGAGCTATTGTTCTTTTTTAAATATTTTTTTGAGGCAAGTTTCGCTCTTGTTGCTCGGGCTGGAATGCAGTGGCACAATCTTGGCTCATTGCAATCTCTGCCTCCCCAGTTCAAGCTGTTCTTCTGCTTCACCCTCCTGAATAGCTAGGATTACAGATGCCTGCCACCTCACCCGGCTAAATTTTTTTTTTTATTTTTAGTAGAGATGGGGTTTCACCATGTTGGGCAGGCTGGTCTTGAACTGCTGACCTCAGGTGATCTGCCTGCCTCAGCCTCCCAAAGTGCTGGGATTACAGGCATGAGCCACCTCGTCTGGTGGAACTATTGTTCTTAGTACCAATTTTATCTGCCAATTTGCTGCCAACATCCGGTGCAAACTTAAAAAGGCTGAAGATGGCCCTCAAACCCCACAACAAGACCTCCTTAACTTGGCTTTCAGTCTTCAATAACAGGGATGAGCAGAGTCAATTAGATGAAGCCCCAAAAGATCATGCTAAATAACCAGCTTCTAGCTGCGACTATCTGTCAGCCTAGCCATAGTACCCAAGGTGACAAAAGACCCCATAGCACCGGCCCTCCTGGGCCTTGTTTTAAGTGCAGCAAAGAAGGCCACTGAGTGCAGGTACGTCCTAACCCACGAGTGCCGAAAAGCCCTTGCCCAGTCTGCCAGCAGACAAGCCACTGGAAGTCTGACTGTCCTCTCAACACACAGACAGAAAAGCCTGCGTGGCAGAGCCACCACCGATTCAGCAAGACAAATAGTGAAGACTCGCTCGCGCCCCCGCAGCTCTTTGGCTTAGCTGCTGAAGACTGACGAGGCCCAGGGCCCCCGGCCCCATCTGCCATCACTGCATTGGAGCCCAGGGTAACACTACTAGTAGCAGGTAAACTGATCTCTTTTTTTAAATCGATACCATGGCCTCGTACTCAGCTTTGCCTGAATTCTCAGGACCCACTCAACCCTCTCAGGTCTCAGTCGTTGGGGTTGATGAACTCATCTCGTGCCCACACACCACCAGACCTCTTACTTGTTCCCTATTCGATACTGTTTTCTCACACTCCTTCCTTATCATGCCTCGTTGCTTTACAGGTCTACTTTGCAGAGACCTCTTAGCCGAATTCAAAGCTTCCATCACCTTTTTCTGTTCCCCACAACCAGATTCTCTCCTACTCCTCTCTGCTGCCCGCCAGCCCTCTACCCCTCCCCTCAATATTCACTCCCCGCTTCTCTTGTTATCTAATAGTGTAGGATACCACTATCCTTTCACTAGCAGCTCACCATGATCCCATCAAAATCCAGCTAAAAGACCCCTCCAAATTTCCTAATGTCTCTCAGTATCCTATTTCATTAATACACCTGAAATGCTTATGACCCATTGTAAACAGACTCCTCTTATCAACGCCACCTTAGGCCAACTCATTCTCCATACAATACCCCTATATTCCCTGTCACAAAGGCCAATGGCTCATATTGGCTAGTCTGAGATCTCTGGGCTATCAATCAGGTGGGTCCTTCCCATTCATCCAGTATTTCCTAACCCTTATAAGCTCCTTTCCCTCATCCCTCCAAACACAACCCATTACTCTATAATAGACCTAAAAGATGCCTATTTTTAGGAGGCTGAGGCAGGAGAATTGCCTGAACTCAGGAGGCAGAGGTTGCGGTGAGCCGAGATCGTGCCATTGCACTCCAGCCTGGGTAACAAGAGCGAAACTCCATCTCAAAAAAAAAAAAAAAGATGCCTATTTTTACCATTCCTCTTCACCCTGACTCCCAGAATATATTTGCTTTCATGTGGACTGACCCTGAAACCCTCCAGTCATGACAATTTACTTGGACAGTCCTCCCCCAAGACTTTAGAGGTAGCCCCCATTTCTTTGAACAAGCTCTAGCTTAAAACCTCACCCTCCTAGACCTCTCCCCTAGCCGGCTCCTCCAGCATGTGGACGACTTCCTTCTTTGTAGCCGCTCTCTAGAGAACTCTCAGACTCGCACTATTACCCTTCTAAACTTTCTGGCTAGTAAAGGATACTGGGTTTCTCCACTACAACAGTGACGTACTTAGGAGTCCAGCTCTCACCCGGGGCCCAAACCATAACCTCAGCATGGGCAGCACAGAGCGCCTGCCCTCACCCACTTCTAAAGGTGAAATTCTTTCTTTCTTAGGTCTAGCAAGTTTCTTCAGAATAATGAATTCCCAATTTTGCCCTCCTAGCCTGCCCCCTCTATGAAGCAGCTAAAGGCCCTCTCAATGAACCCCCAAATCCTTCTCACAACATAATCCCTAGCTTCCACAAACTTAAAGCTGCCCTCATAACTGCTCCTGCTCTATCTTTGCCTGACATCTCTTGGCCCTTCATTCTCTACACAGCTGAAAACCATGAAATAGCCCTTGGTGTTCTTGGCCTACAAAAAGGGAGTCCTCCTTCTTTTCCTCCCATAGCTTACCTCTCTAAACAACTAGACAGTACCACTCCAGGATGGCCGACCTGCAGCAGCCCTAGCAGCAGCTGCCACCCTAGCCTTAGAAAGCAAGAAACTCACATTCAGTCAAGATACCACAGTGCACAGCCCACATAATCTCCTCTCTTCCAAGCACTGAGCACACTTTCTCCTCGTATCCAACTACTCCATGCCCTCCTTCTTAAAAACCCTGAGTTTCACCTCTCCAAAAGTGCTCCCCTCAGTCCTGCATCTCTCTCTCTCTCTTTTTTTTTTTGAGACGGAGTTTCACTCTTGTTACCCAGGCTGGAGTGCAATGGCGTGATCTTGGCTCACCATAACCTCCGCCTCCTGGGTTCAGGCAATTCTCCTGCCTCAGCCTCCTGAGTAGCTGGGATTACAGGCATGCACCACCATGCCCAGTTAATTTTTTTGTACTTTTAGTAGAGACAGGGTTTCACCATGTTGACCAGGATGGTCTCGATCTCTTGACCTCGTGATCCACCTGCCTCGGCCTCCCAAAGTGCTGGGATTACAGGCGTGAGCCACCGCGCCCGGCCTCTTTTTATTTTTTTGCGTAAAGACAGGGTTTCACCATGTTGGTCAGGCTTGTCTTGAACTCCTGACCTCAGGTGATCGGCCTGCCTTGGCCCCCAAAGTGCTTGGATTACAGGCGTGAGACACCACGCCCGGCCTCAATCCTGCATATCTACTCCCAGTATCTTCCTCTTTTCCCACCCACTACTATACTGAAATCCTTACTCATCTACAGCTCATTTCCCTAATATCTCCCCTAAACCTCTCCCCAGTCCTGACAACCAGTTGTTTGTAGACGGCTCCTCCTCCAAGTCAGTCAACTCCCATAAAATTGCTGGGTACACAGTCGTCTCCCTTAACTGAGTAATAAAGCTAAACCCCTCTCCCCAGGGACCTCCTCTAAAAAGGCAAAACGTATAGCTCTCACCATGGCCCTAACCCTCTCCAAAGACAAACCAGTCAACATTTTTACCAGCTCCAAATATGCCAATCACATTCTCCATTCTCATGCCGCCATCTGACAAGAGAGAGGATTTCTTCCCGCCAAAGGAACCCCCGTCACTAATGGCCCCCTTATTTACCAAATCCTCCAAGCTGCACACCTCGTGGCTAAAGCAGGACTTATACACTGTTAAGGACACCAAATAAGGTCAGATGACATCTCAAAAGGAAACAGAAAGGCTGACAAGGCAGCAAAATAAGCCTCCCTTTCTTCTGCTCCTGCCCCTCTCCTCCTCATTACCCCCACAGTCTAACCCCAGTATTCCCCAACTGAAAAGGCTTCACTGCTGCAACAAGAGGCCACCTCCCTGTATAACCCCTCTCAACTCCTTCCCCCAAATACAGACTCTGATTCTTCAAGGTCCTAACTCTTTTTTTTTCTTTTGAGACAGAGTCTCGTCTGTCGCCAGGCGCCAGGCTGGAGTGCAGTGGTGCAGTCTCAGCTCACTGCAATCTTCATCTCCTGGGTTCAAGCAATTCTCCTGCCTCAGCCTCCTGAGTAGCTGGGACTACCGGCGCGTGCCACCACACCCAGCTAATTTTTTTTTTTGTATTTTTAGTAGAGACGGGGTTTTACAGTATTAGCTAGGATGGTCTTGATCCCCTGACCTCATGATCTGCCCGCCTCAGCCTCCCAAAGTGCTGGGATTACAGGCCTGAGCCATTGCACCTGGCCATCAACTAGACTCTTTAGCAGCAATCACCCTACAAAACCGCAAAGGCCTAAATCTCCTCACTGCTGAAAAAGGACATTTATGTCTCTTTTTAGATGAACAATGCTGTTTCTACCTCACTGAATCGGGGTTAGTATGAAATGCTGTCAAAAAACTCAAAGACCAAGCACAAAAAATTAAAGACAGTCAGTTCACCTGGCCCCAGTAGTTCTGTATCTCCTGGATACCCTGGCTACTGCCCCTCCTAGTTTCCTCCTTCTAGCATTTGGCCCCTGCCTTTTAACAATTCCTCACCCGGTTTTTACAGGACCGTATTAAGCTTTCACCCATGGAACAACAGAAGATACGATGCTGCTCCAAGAATACCAACAGCTCCAGGAATGATAATCTGTACTCTCTAGCTCCTCTTAAATGTCACCCCTATCCAGCAAGAAGCAGCCAGATGACAACGGAGCCCCTCCTCTATTACCTATTAAAAGGCTGGAATGTTAGGGACCAGCTGACCCCCTCCCACTACTCTGATTGCTCTGCAGCTACATTCCTGAACTCCCATCTAGGTGCTACAATTAAGCAAAGCCTGATTACAGCCATCTGGGCAGGGGGAAGACAGGGAAAACAACTGTTTGTCATTCATCTTGTAAATTCCTGTTTTACACATACCTGTAAAATTCCATTTTTTTTAAAACTGCCACCACAAAAGTCACAGGATTATGTATTGTAAGTCTGTCACAAATTAACAAACTATCCCTGTGCCTGTTACAAGCTGATTGATTATCTCAGTCCTGAAACTTCCTTATGCCCACATATAATCCTCTTTTTTTTTTTTCTTTTTCTTTTTTTGAGACGGAGTTTCGCTGTTGTTACCCAGACTGGAGTGCAATGGCACGATCTCAGCTCACTGCAACCTCTGCCTTCTGGGTTCAAGCAATTCTCCTGCCTCAGCCTCCCGAGTAGCTGGGACTACAGGTGCGCACCACCATGCCCAGCTAATTTTTGTATTTTTAGTAGAGACGGGGTTTCACCTTGTTGACCAGGATGGTCTCGATCTCTTGACCTCGTGATCCACCCGCCTCGGCCTCCCAAAGTGCTGGGATTATAGGCGTGAGCCACCGCGCCCGGCCTAATCCTTTTTGTAAAGCTTGTTTTGTAAGCTCAGGGCTGCCTCCTCTGATTGGGTTAATAAAACCTGCTTGCTACTCTCCTTTCTCTCGGCTAACTTTACACTCTTGAATTCTCAATCTCTCTTTTTTTGTTTTTGTTTTTTAAAGACACGGTCTTGCTGTGTTTCCCAAGCTGGACTTGAACCCTTGGGCTCAAATGATCTTCCTATCTTAGCCTCCTGAGTAGCTGGGACTACAGGGGCAGGGCAGGCCACCACACTTGGCTTATTGCTCTTGAATTCTTGAGGCTCAGGAATTTGTGTGGCTGACAGGTACAGGAGCAGCCTGTCAGCCACACAAAATGAGAATGAATCTTTAACCCTAGGGCTCTCAGTAGTAAGAGACTCTAGTGCCCAGGCTGGAGTGCAGTGGTGCGATCTTGGCTCACTGCAACCTCCGGCTCCCAGGTTCAAGCCATTCTCCTGCCTTAGCCTCCTGAGGAGCTGGGATTACAGGCCCACACCGCCATGCCCGGCTAATTTTTTTTGTATTTTTAGTAGAGATGGGGTTTCACCATGTTGGTCAGGCTGGTCTCGATCTCTTGACCTCATGATCCACCCACCTCGGCCTCCCAAAGTGCTGGGATTGCAGATGTGAGCCAATGCGCCCAGCCTCACCTTTTTTTTTGATGAGAGAGATCTTAGGTAAATACTAAGTGTTCCTGGATCCTCTTTCTGACATTTTTTTCTGGTTTCTGGGGGCTCAACAAATGCATTTCTATACTACCTGTTTTGGCTTTTTTCTGCCTAAATATCAAGTTTCCTGAAACTAAGTACTTGCTTACCAAAAAGGTATTGAAAGGGAACTTAAACAATACAGCTTCTTAGATTTTGTTTTATAATTTGATAAGCTTTACCAAACAGCATGGCTTGTTTTCCTCCTGTGATGAATTTTAAGTTAAAGAATGTTCTGAGGCCTGGCGCGGTGGCTCATGCCTATAATCCCAGCACTTTGGGAGGCCGAGGCGGGTGGATCACGAGGTCAAGAGATCGAGACCATCCTGGTCAACAAGGTGAAACCCCATCTCTACTAAAAATACAAAAATTAGCTGGGCATGGTGGTGTGCGCCCATAGTCCCAGCTACTCAGGAGACTGAGGCAGGAGAATTGCTTGAACCCAGAAGGCAGAGGTTGCAGTGAGCCGAGATCGTGCCATTGCACTCCAGTCTGGGTAACAACAGCGAAACTCCATCTCAAGGAAAAAAAAAAAATGTTCTGAACACCCATCTTCATATGTAATAAGAACAAAGGGTGGCATTTATTGAACACTTACCATGTGCCAGTCACTGTACTGTCTTACATATATCATCACATGCATTTTTTTTTTTTTTTTGAGACGGAGTTTCGCTCTTGTTACCCAGGCTGGAGTGCAATGGCGCGATCTCGGCTCACCACAACCTCTGCCTCCTGGGTTCAGGCAATTCTCCTGCCTCAGCCTCCTGAGGAGCTGGGATTACAGGCACGCGCCACCGTACCCAGCTAATTTTTTGTATTTTTAGTAGAGACGGGGTTTCATCATGTTGACCAGGATGGTCTTGATCTCTTGACCTCATGATCCACCTGCCTCGGCACTCCCAAAGTGCTGGGATTACAGGCGTGAGCCACTGCATCCGGCCCCCATCACAGGCATTTTTAATATTACTATAAGAAAGATACTGTTATTCCAACTTTAGTGAATGAAGAAACTGAAGCAGAGAGAGAATAAATGATTTGTCCACATCTCAAAGTCAAACTCAGGCCATCTGGTTCTAGAACCTGCACTCCCACCTCCCACTTCTCCCTCCCTCCCTCCCTCCCTTCCTTGCTTCTTCCTTCCTTCCCTCCCTTTCTTTCTTTTCTCTCTTTCTTTCTCTCTCTCTCTCTTTTTTTGAGACAGAGTCTCTGTCACCCAGGCTGGAGTGCAGTGGCACGATCACAGGTCACTGTAACCTCTGCCTCCTGGGTTCAAGTGATTCTCATGCCTCAGCCTCCCAGTTAGCCGGGACTACAAGCATGCGGCACCATGCCTGGCTAATTTTTGTATTTTTAGTAGAGACAGAATTTTGCCATATTGACCAGGCTGGTCTTGAACTCCTGGCCTCAAGTCATCTGCCCACTTTGGCCTCCCAAAGTGCTGGGAGGCCACAACACCTGGCCCATGCTTATTTCTAATAAAGAAGAATTAAAATAAGTGAAACACTAGAAACCTAATGCTGTACTAGTTCCTGGAAAGATTTTTTAAAGAAGGGTTATTAGAGTATACTCATCTTTAAAAAATTCTCTAATAGTGACTGAATGGTTGGCGAGAGGCAGAGGCTTGAAAGAGCAGGAAATTAAGAGGACAACTTGTTTTTTCAGTTCCTTATCTACTACTGCATTGAAAAGTGTTTTATGGGTTGAGCATGGTGGCTCACGCCTGTAATCCCAGCACTCTGGGAGGCTGAGGTGGGCGGATCACTTGAGGTCAGCCATTTAAGACCAGTTTGGCCAACATGGCAAGACCCATTCTCTATTAAAAATACAGAAAGTAGGTGGGTGTGGTGGCACATGCCTATAGTCCCTGCTACTTGGGAGGCTGAGGAGGAAGAATCACTTGAACCTGGGAAGCAGAGGTTCCAGAAAGTGCCATTGCACCCAGGCCTGGGCAACAGAGCAGTGCTCTGTCTCAAAAAAAAAAAAAAAGTATAGGCCGGGCATGGTGGCTCACACCTATAATCCCAGCACTTTGGGAGGCCGAGGCGGGCAGATCACAAGGTCAGGAGTTTGAGACCAGCCTGACCAACATGGTGAAACCTCATCTCTACTAAAAACACAAAAAGTAGCCAGGTGTGGTGGCACACACTTGTAATCCCAGCTACTCAGGAGGCTGAGGCAGGAGAACTGCTTGAACTCAGGAGGCAGAGGTTGCAGTGAGCCAAGATCGTGCCATTGCACTCCAGCCTGGGCAACAGAGTGAGATTCTGTGTCTCAAAAAAAAAAAAAAAAAAAAAAGGTCATTATGAATTCAACACACATTTAAGTGATTTCTTGCTAACTATATGTATTTTATATAATTTCAGAAATTACTGAATTCAGGATTGAGAAAAAGAAATAAAGTGTTACTTTGATAATTTACCTAACAAAGTCATAAAAATTTTACTTGTTTAGGTCTCATACCTATCACTGCCTTTAGAACATTTACTGTTCTTTTGCACTGCACCATCTCTCTCCACTTCTGCTATATAATTAAGCACTGTGCTCTACAGTAACAGTCATTATACTTGATACAGCTTTCACTGCCTTTTTCCAATGCTGCCTGCTCTGAGAGGCAATGGGAAAGTTCAGCATGGTGCACACATACTGCAGTCACGATATGCTAGCAGGGTAAGAGAAAAACTGCTAACATTTATATCTGTTATTTGTTAAGTGGGTACTATTCATAATACCCCCATTTTGTAGACGGGGAAGCAGAATAGAGAAGTTCAGAAACTCTCCCATGGACCACAGGTGAGTAAGTAGCAGATCCAGAATTCTACTCTTGCAGTCTGACTCCAGAATCCATGCCTTTACCTGTTCCACTATGCTAGCTCTCAAACCATTACTGTCTGCCAATAAGACACTGAGGGTGAGGTTGATGATGGCAATATACTGTTGTTGCATTTGGGTCTAAATATTCATGCATAGAGGAACTGTGTGATAGAACAATTCTTGAGTCTTTGCCACCTCACCTAAATGCACTCAACAAATATTTACCTTTGCCTACCATGTAACTTTTCCGTCCTTCTCTCGAGTGTTTTCACTCTTTCTCCAGAGGTGGTCTGTTTACACACATGTGCAGGTCTCCTCAGCAAAGACCTAGGTGTCTAGTGTGGGAGGGATTTGATGACTAATGCATGGGATTACCGTCCTCTCTGATAAAACACATTCACAAAGACTCGAAGGTGTGTAGCTGAGAGAATGTGCTCCAGGGTGTTAAGAAGGACTGAACAAACTACACCCATTGCTTTCTGCATCTTATTTCAATAAGGTCAATAAGATCTTTCCATTCTATCACTGCTGCTGTACCCACATCCAAACTCTGTGACTGAAACAAACACTGTCCCTTGTGCTGATCACCTGGGCTAGGAGGAAATTTTCAAAAGCAAATCCCATGAGAGCAGGAAAGAAATAAAAATAGAAAATATTAGTGGAATAAAAGCCTCCAAAGTTTTGGTTTCTGATTCTAAGGAGGAGGTTGTGTCAAGGGGAAAGTTCGGGAGCACCTGCAGAGTCTGATGGGATGGGTCGGTGGTGGTGCTCCAGCTGATTATAAAGTCAAAGCTGAGAACAAGTTTCCTGATCTATAGAGTCACACGTTTGTGACTTGAGTCCTTTGTGTTTCTTGCTTTAATTTTATTATTGAAAAAAGCCCCAATAATAAGAATTAATACAGTTCTGATTCCAAATGACATTTTACCTCTTGTCTTCAAAACTGTTGAATCATAAGCCTTGGTTGGCACCGTGGGAGGAAAGGGCTGCTGGGTGCGGGCTTTAATGCCGGTGTAGAGGTCCTCAGGTGACCTGAAGGTGGGGAACATGGCACCGCGACAGGTGTGTGTGTGGTAGGGGTGTTCAATTGGATATGGCAAGCAGGTCTCGCTAAGATTTATTGAGGAAACAAAACAAAATGAAAAGAACAGAAAGAAATATGATTGAAATAATTAATCACCAAATATTTATTGGGACCCTTTTTTTAAACGTCAGAAACTATTCTAATCCTGGGGGACAGGACACTGAGCCAATGTCCCTGTGCTGATGGAGTTAGCATTTTCTTGGAATGTGTACCATAAAATAGGACATTTTCTTAATTTTTCCAGACAAAACTAAATTTAATTTTAAAATAAATCATGCCCAATTCTTTATCAGTGAATAAGTTTCATAAATGGTATAAAAATATAAGGCAGAAAATAAATGAGTTTTGTGTTTTTAGAATGGTACAGGAAGAATTTCTAATTGCTTTTAATTACTGTGTCTTATTTTAAGATGCTCCCAGGAATTGTTTTAGACATTCTGCTTCAGCAAAGTGATCTCTAGCCGTCTTGGAATAAACTTTTCAACCCAGGCATCTGTTTCTTTAAGCAATAAATCAACAAAATACACTGCCTGTTTATCTACAAGTACTGCTTCAAAACCAAAAAGCCAAAAACAGCTAGCACACTGAAGGAAAAAAATAAACATGTTAAAGAGGCCACAGGGATATAATTTTCCCATCATTTGGAGAATTGGCAGAGGTTAAAAAAAATTTTGTTTTTTTTAGACAGTCTCCATGTGGGAGCTGTCTAAACTAGAAGAAAAGCAAAATTAGGAAGTCCATGGGATAGAGAAACGTTATTCATGTACCCTTGCTGTGAAGCGATGAAAACAGCACTTTATCTCTGTGGCCCCAATACAGAGATACATCACCCCCATCTAACCATAAGAAAAACATCAGTCAAAGCCCAATTTGGGGGCATTCTACAAAATATCTGACCAATAATCCTTAAAATTGTCAAGGTCATTAAAACAAGGAAAGTCTGAGAAACTGTCACAGCGAAGAGGAACCTGAGAGATGACGACTAAATGTGATGTGGTACTCTGGATGGGATCCTGGAACAGAAAAAGGACATGAGGGAGAAACTGAGGAAATCTGGATAAAGCATGGACTTTGGGTCATAGTAAGGCATCAGCAGTGGTTCATTAATTGTGACACATGTGCCATATTAATGTGAGATGCTAACAACAGGGGAAATTGCCTGTGATGTATATGGGAACTCTCCACACTATCTTCTCGATAATTCTATAAACCTAAAATCATACAAAAATAAAACATTTACTAAAAAAGATTTGCTGGAGACATAATAGGAGAGAAATCAAAGTAATGTCATGTTACACTTGCACCAGCCTTTCCTTCCAACTGTTAAAACATAGTTTTCAGGCCAGGCACTGTGGTTCATGCCTGTAATTCCAGCACTTTGGGAGGCTGAGGTGGGCAGATCACTTGAGCCCAGAGGTTTGAGATCAGCCTGGGCAACATAGCAAGAACCCATCTCTACAAAAAAAAAAAAAAAATATACAAAAATTAGCCAGGCATAGTGGTGCACATCTGTAGTCCCAGCTAGTTGGGAGGTGAAGGTGGGAGAATCATCTGAACCCAGGGAAGTCAAGGCTTCAGTGAGCTGTGATCGCGCCACTGCACTCCAGCCTGGGTGACAAAGTGAGACTCCATCTCAAAAAAAAAAAAAGTTTTCATGGAACATCTCACTTGTTTTCACACTTCTAAGACATAGAAAATGCCAATTTTGGCCGGGCTCGGTGGCTCATACCTGTAATCCCAGCACTTTGGGAGGCCAAGGCGGGTGTATCACGAGGTCAAGAGATCGAGACCATCCTGGTCAACATGGTGAAACCCCGTCTCTACTAAAAATACAAAAAATTAGCTGGGCATGGTGGCGCGTGCCTGTAATCCCAGCTACTCAGGAGGCTGAGGCAGGAGAATTGCCTAAACCCAGGAGGCGGAGGTTGCGGTGAGCCGAGATTGCGCCATTGCACTCCAGCCTGGGTAACAAGAGCTAAACTCCGTCTCAAAAAAAAAAAAAAAAGAAAATGCCAATTTTTTTTTCTTGGTTATAACAGAGAAGGAAAATATAAGTTGTTTACTTACCCTACTGTTGAATTAGGTGGCTTGGGTATCCTAGAATAAAAACAGGAAACAAGTTCTATATTAAAGATTTTTAGAAGTTTATATTCCTATTAGAAATTTGATTAATGATATAGGCCGGGCATGGTGGCTCATGCATGCAATCCCAGCACTTTGGGAGGTCAAGGGGGGCGCAGATCGCTTGAACTCAGGCATTCGAGACCAGTCTGGCCAACATACCAAATACAAAAATAGAAAAAATACAAAAAGTACCAAAAATACAAAAAAAAAAATACCTAGGTGTGGTGGTGTATGCCTATAATCCCAGCTACTCAGGATTACCTAGGAGGCAGAGATTGCAGTGAGCAGAGATCTTGCCACTGCACGCCAGCCTGGGCAACAGAGAAAGAATCTGTCTCAAAAAAAAAAAAATAAAATAAAAATAATATGGATATACCCCATTTCAAACTGTAGTGTCATTAAGATAATATTCTTGATTAACTTTCTGGATCCCTGAATACTGACATGACAGAGATATGTTGTTTCCATGTCTCGGTTGTCTGCTGATTAATTTTTCCTTCCATTTATTCTAACCTCACCATCGCTTCTGCATTTTCCATTTGCAGCGAAGGTACAAGGGATGACCACTTCTAATGATAAGAGAGCTCTGGTTCTTTCTGACCTCTACTCTCATAATCAGGCAGTAGCAAAAGTGCTCTGAGGAAACCTGACATTATACATGTGGTGCAATTTCATGGCCTAAAGTGACCTGAGTGTGGCCTGGCTGGAGAGGATATGTAAGTACCATGTGTGCCTCCTACCTTTGCACAGGGTTGCTGATCTCTCATGATAGTAAATGTTGCCTGGTTGGCAGAGACAGGATAGAACAAAACTGACCAAGTTCCTGGAAGCACGCCTTTTCTGAAGCAGTTCATTCCAAGGCTGTGCATTTACTAATTACTCTGAACCTTGCCAAGAAAGAATCCTGTAGCCCTGGAAAACGACTAAAACCTGGTAATCATCCATCTACACTGGATTTCAACAATTCGTTTCAGCCTATGCAAATAAAAATTCTGGAAGATTTCAGGCATGAAAAATGAACAGAATGGTATCAGTTTGATAGTAAAGTCAGTAAAACTGAATACACTGTTTAATTTTTTAGATGTTCCTCCATGCTAGCAGGTATTCCCTAGAGAGTGGTATGTAAGCCATATAAATTTATTATCCTGTAATGTATTATAAACATGTGATTCCCGTGAACTATAAAAGTTTATATCTTTTAAAATTTCTGCTCTACATCTGTGGGCATGACACTGAAAAAAGCATGTTCTGTCTTACATCGACATCACTGAGTTGGAGAAATGGTAGGGGCACAGGGGGCAGGGAAGTGATGAATATATGAATCCAAAGAATTTAGAGTTGTTATTAGTAGATTGGCAACTATGTATAATACATTAAGCTAGCATCTAAAATTATTCTCATGTGACAAGTTCTACTACAATATTGACAAGCATTTGCCTAAAATTGATTTGATTCAAAACAAAAAAAATGAAATTTAAAATATAGCATTTCTAAAACTTCAAGATTTGAAAAGATAAAAGTAACAAATGCTGAGACACCTCTTCCTTGACTTAAATCAGTTCATTAATTTTACTGCCACCCATCATATCTGCTTTGCAAAATTCACCAAAAATCCCAGGATAAACCCAGACAACCACAAATTTTGTCTTTTTGGCGCCATCTAGTGGCTAACTTCTATATTAATTTTTTTCCTAGCAACATCTAGTACTTGTTAATAAAGAAGTGATTGTTTCATTATTACTTCAATGCTGTAGTATTTATTTTTTATTTTTTGAGACAGAGTTTCACTCTTGTCACCCAGAATGGAGTGCAATGGCTCGACCTTGGCTCCCTGCAACCTCCGCCTCTTGGGTTCAAGTGATTCTCCTGCTTCAGCCTCCCCAGTAGCTGGGATTACAGGTGCCTGCCACTATGCCTGGATAATTTTTGTATTTTTCATAGAGACAGGCTTTCACCATGTTGGCCAGGCTGCTCTTGAACTCCTGACCTCAGGTGATCTACCCGGCCTCAGCCTCCCAAAGTGCTGGGATTCCAGGCGTGAGCCACTATGCCTGGCTGTGTTTTATTTTTCTCTAATAATAAAAATGTATGCTTTTGTAATGTACATGAAAACTACTTAAAAGTATAAAAATACTACACTTGAAAAGAATACCTTTAAGTGGTGAGTAAATTAACAAGTATGCCTCATGTAAAAAAATACTTAGGAAGTAATTTTATTAAGAGTTATTTGTGGATGAGAATAAAACCCTATATCATAATTAAATTCTGGTTGAAAATTTGTTGAGGGCCACCATGGCATTTTATATTGATATTTTAAGAAATGTAGCAGATTCTTACTAGATTGGGTAAGTAGGTCAAAGGCAGGGAAATGGACCAAGATAACTTTTAGGAATCCCTTTGAATTTTACTATTCATCAGCTCCTGTTTTTCTTCTTGGTTTCTTTAAATACTAAAAACTACTGGTTTGTTATTTATTTGCTTTTGTTTGTTTGGTCTTGATTTTTGGTATTAATTGTTTCTATTTTAAAAAAGGAATAATTTATTTCTCTAAAAGTCCCCATTTGGGGCTTTAAAAATGTCTCATATAACTCATTTCCATTTAAAATGTTATTTGATTTTATGTAAGAAAAAAAACTCAGACTTACAAAGAATCATTTCCATAGACATCACTCTTTTTGTTCTGGGTCAAATAATAAAATTGTTCAATAGGAACCTTTCTGAAAAGAAAGAAAAGATTAAATTAAACATGTTTTAAAATTAACATAGTATAATGGTGAGAGTAAAAGACAAATAGATTAACACAATATCCATGTATATGTAGAAATTCAATATATGAAAAGATGTCATTTTATTTCATTCATTATTTTTTAATAAACAGAGAGACAAGGTCTTGCTATGTTGCCCAGACTTGTCTTGAACTCCTAAGCTCAAGGATTCCTCCTGCCTTGGCCTCCCAAATTGCTGCAATTACAGGCATGAGGTACTGTGCCTGGTCAAAAAAGACATATTTTTCTTTTTAAATTTTTTAAATTAATTAATTATACAGTCTTGCTATGTTAGCCAGGCTTGTCTCCAACTCTTGGCCTCAAATGATTCTTCCACCTCAGCCCCCCCCAAAGTGCTGGGATTACAGGCATAAGGCACTATGCCTAGCCAGGATGTATTTTTTAACATAGAAAAAATTCAGGGCCGGGCACGGTGGCTCACATCTGTAATCCCAGCACTTTGGGAGGCTGAGGGGGGAAGATCACCTAAGGTCAGGAGTTCGAGACCAGCCTGGCCAACATGGTGAAACCCTGCCTCTACTAAAAAATACAAAAATTAGTCAAGCATGGTGGTGGGCGGCTGTAATCCCAGCTACTTGAAAGGCTGAGGCAGGAGAGTCTCTTGAACCCTGGGAGGCAGAGGTTGCAGTGAGGCGCAGATTGTGCCATTGCACTTTCCAGCCTGGGACACAAAAGTGAGACTGTCTCAAAAAAAGAAAAAAAAAAGAAAAAATTCAGTATTCATTTGAAAAATAATCCATCTCTATTTATACTATTCAGAAAGATAATTTCAGATGGATTTAAACACCTAAAGAATTTGGGGAAAAACCTATATAAAAATGGAAAGAAAATGTATAGGAATATGTTTTTTTCTTTGGTGGTAGGAAGAACCTTCAAAACAATAATTTTCTTTTAAAAGTCAAAAGCCTGAAAGAAAATCTGATCATAAAATTTAATTATAAGGCTGGGCACGATGGTTCATGCCTGTAATCTTAGCACTGTGGGAGGCCGAGGTGGGCAGATCACTTGAGGCCAGGAGTTGAAGACCAGCCTGGCCAAGATGGTGAAACCCCATCTTTACTAAAAATAGAAAAAGTTCGCTGGGCATGGTGGCACCTGTCTGTAATCCTAGCTACTTGGGAGGCTGAGGCATGAGAATCACTTGAACCTGGGAAGCAGATGTCGCGGTGAGCTGAGACTATGCCACCACTGCACTCCAACCTGGACAACAGAATGAAACTCCGTCTCAAAAAAAAAATTTTTTTTAATTAAAAATAAAACATGAAAATACCCAAAGTTAATTATAAGACAAAAGACATCATAAAAGTTCAAATAAAATAAAAATTAGAATAAATACTTGCAAATATAAATAAAGATAACACATAAAGAATTGTTTTCAGAACACAGAGAATCAACAAGAATCTATAAGATACAAAAGATAAAAACCGGGCAAAGAATAAACATAGAAAAGGAAATGTGAATGGCCTTACATAAAAGATAAGAAAAGTACTCAATCCAATAAGCAGATAAATGCATTCTCAGAACCACGATAACCTGTATACTCATTAGATGGGCAACAATTACACATTTTCATAATATAGATGGCCGAGAGTGTGAGAAAATGAATACTTTTAGACACTACCATGAGACTATAAACCATTTGGGCCACATGCACTGAGATTTAAAAAAAAATTCCCTATATTGTAACCCACTTAGGATTTGCCTTTTTATTTATTTATTGATTTATTTATTTAGAGACAGTGTCTTGCTCAGTCGCCCAGGCTGGAGTGCAATGGCACAATCTTGGCTCAATGCAACCTCTGCCTCCCGGGTTCAAGTGATTCTCCTGCCTCAGGCTCCTGAATAGCTGGGACTACAGGCACCCGCTATCATGTCTGGCTAATTTTTGTATTTTTGTAGAGATGGAATTTCACCATGTTGACCAGGCTGGTCTCAGACTGCTGACTGCAGGAGATCTGCCTGCCTCAGTCTCCCAAAGTGCTGGGATTACAGGTGTGAGCCACCACCCCTAGCTGAATTTTCCTCTTAGAAATCTTTGAGCATGATCTCAAGAAGTCCTGTACAAGGATGCCTATTAAAGTATGGTTAATGTAAAAAGAAAGAGCGAAAAGAAACAATACGTGATGGCTAAATATAATGCACTCATATTGTAGAATACTGGGAGAAATGAAAAAGAATGATGCATATCTGTTTATCTACATTTACAGACATGTGACTATTTCTAGATTATAGAGAAAAAAAACCAAATTGTCTAATACCATGTGTCAAGTGATTCCACACATATATTAAATAACACCGTATATTTTCAATGGGTGCATGTGTAATAGTGTAAGTGTATAACAAAAGGCATAGAAGGAGACACCAAAGTGGTAACAGTGGTTTCTTCTAGGAAGGAGAGTAGGACTGTGGGGTAATGGTCAGAAAATGGACCTTATCTGTAACCTTGTTTTTTTTTTTTTTGAGACTGAGTCTTGCTTTGTTGCCAGGCGCCAGGCTGGAGTGCAGTGGCGCCAGCTCGGCTAACTGCAACCTCTGCCTCCTGGGTTTGAGCAATGCTCTTGCCTCAGCCTCCCAAGTAGCTGGGACTACAGGCACGCGCCACCCACGCCCAGCGAGTTTTTGTATTTTTTAGTAGACATGGGGTTTCACCATATCGGCCAGGATGGTCTTGATTTCTTGACTTCATGATCAGCCCGCCTCAGCCTCCCAAAGTGCTGGGATTACAAGCGTGAGCCAGTGCGCCTGGCATCTGTAACCTTTTTATGTTTGCTGTGCTCACCTGTGACTTGTGGCTGCCCAATATCTTTTGAACATGGAGTCTGCACACACACACACACACACACACACACACTTATGGAGTCTTGCTCTGTCGCCCAGGCTGGAGTCCAGTGGAGCAATCTCAGCTCATTGTAACCTCTGCCTCCCAGGTTCAAGCAATCCTCCCGCCTCAGCCTCATGAGCAGCTGGGATTACAAGTGCCCACCACCATGCCCGGCTAATTTTTTTTTGTATTTTTGGTAAAGACAGGGTTTCACCATGTTGGCCAGGTTGGTCTAGAACTCCTAACCTCAGGTGATTCACCTGCCTTGGCCTCCCAAAGTGTTGAGATTACTGCTGTGGGCCACTGTGCCTGGCCCCAGCCTACATTTTTATAGTGCGTGTACTGTGAATCTCATCTACCCAATGTGGATTCCAAGAAACTTGCTTTTTCCAGGCCCTGGAGTGTGAGGTTTATTTGTACCCCACAAGAATGCTCACCTAGAGAACCCCAGCATTGAGGATATTCTCAATAATCAGGTAGACACAGTGACTTGCTCTATGCATGTCAGGTTTTTCCCAGTCACCCAGTGCTTGTTCAGCGACTTTATAACAAAGTGATCATGGTGGCGGCACAGAAATGGTCACATATAGATTCAGCAACATGAAGTTCCCTGACTAAGACTCACCTGGATATTGGCACATTTGAGTTTGCCAGCAGAAGTGGCCAATCCTAAGCACTTGATAGGGTGACCTGTCTCTGGATGTACTAGTTAGCCATCTGGTGGGAGGATGATTACATCAAACCCCTTCCATCACACTTCTTCAAAATAGGGATTTCCCTTTCCTTCTCACCATGCTTCTGCCAGTAACATCAACAGTAAACTTACTAAATGTCCCATTCGTTGCCATGCCACCTTAAACAACATTACTTTTGACTAAGGAACTCAATTTACTACAAAAGACATTGAGCAATGGTTGGTTGAATTAAAATGATTCACCATATTTATAGAATGTTATATTTCCCCATACTTATGGAGCATTAGAATGGCCTACTGAATATTCAATTATGGCTGAGTGTTGTCCTAAAGAGTATGGGACATGCTCTGAACCAGTGACCAATAAATAGGTTCCCCCTTAGCCAGAATGCATAGTCTGAAAACCGAAGGGTGGAAGTGGGAGTGGTGCTTCTTACTGTTACACTTATGGTTCCACTTGAGAAAATGTTACTCCCTCCCTAGCCACCCTGAGCTTTGGTGGTTTAGAGGTCAAGGGAGAAGCGCTTCCATCAGGGGATAAAACAATGGTCCCAATTGCACTGGAAGCTGAATTGATGATGATGTGGTAAATTTGGGCTAGGATGACTGATCCTGAATATCAAGGGTCAGAGGATATTATACAACGATGGGGGAAAGGAGTATTTCTGGAACCTGGGGAACCTTTTAATACCTAGTATTGTCTTCAGCAGCGAAGTTAATGAAATACTACAGCAGCATTATACAGGCAGAACCACAAAGAGCTAAGATCTCTCAAAACATAATTTTGCGTTGTTCTATCAAGTAATGTACTCCTACCAGCTCAAGTACTGGCCAAGGGCAAGGGAACTTGGAACAGGTAGTGGAGGAAGGAAATTATGATTATTATTTATAAAAGCATTTTTTAATTTCAATAGTTTTTGGGGAACAGGTGGTGTTTTGTTACATGAATAACTTCTATAGTGGTGATTTCTGAGATTTTGGTATAACAATAACCCAAGCAGTGTACACTGTACCCAATGTGTAGTCTTTTATCCCTCACCCCTCTCCCACCCTTTTTCCATGAGTCCCCAGAGTCCATTGTATCATTCTTATGTCTGTGTTCTTATAGTCTGGCTCCAACTTATAGGTGAGAACATACAATGTCTGGTTTTCCATTCCTGAGTTACTTCACTTAGAATAATGGTTTCCAACTCCATCCAGGTTGCTGTGAATGCCATTATTTCATTTCTTTTTATGGCTGAGTAGTATTCCATGGTATGGTATATCTACACCACATTTGCTCCATCCACTCATTGGCTGATGGGCACTTGGGCTGGTTTTATATTTTTGCAATTGCATATTATGCTGCTATAAACATGTGTGTACAAATGTCTTTTTCATATAATGACTTCTTTATGGAGGAAGGAAATTATAACACCAATGATAGCCTCATGACCAGGTGCAGGAATGAGACTACAGTCACTTCTCATATTTTCTGCCTTGCTGTGTCTTACATATTTTTATATATTTTCTTTTTTTCTCTCCATTTTCCTTATTATTTCATATAGGATACATTGGTGATGGTTAACTTCATTGAAGAGCATAGGTACTGAATATTGGGACAAGATTGCAACTGAACTAGACAGGAGCGAGTGCTTGGAGTTGGATGCAGCAAAGTTGGAAACTGCTTTCTTTGGGCCTCTGCTTTTGGGGAGGTGAGTGTATTTTCTTTTTTTTTTTTTTTTTTAAGATGGGTTTCACCATGATGGCCAGGCTGGTCTTGAACTCCTGACCTCAGGTGATCCACCCACCTCGGCCTCCCAAAGTGCTAGGATTACAGGCGTGAGCCACCGCGCCCAGCCATGTATTTTCATTTGTACGAAAATTGTTGCAGTTTCTTACACTGTAGCAATGGTTCTCCAACTTTGCTGCATGTTGGAATTACCTGAAGTAGTTTGTTAAAAATGCAGATTCTGTTTCAGTAAATCTGGGGTGGAGGCTGAGATGTAGCACTTATCATTTCCTAGGTGATGCTGATGCTGCTGGCCCAGGAGCCACGTGTCAAATAGAAAAGCATGTTATTGTTGCTGCTGTTGTTTAGAGTGACAGTCCAATGGCACTCATGACTACCATCTTTACAATACGCTCTCTACATTTTGCTAGTTTTCCACATTTGGAACACCCCATTTCCCAGCCTTCTTAGCAGCCAGGGTGCAAATGTGTCCTAAGTTCTGCCAAGCATCCACTTCTGCACTAGACTTTGATTTGACTGTGAGGAGCCTGAGAACACCAGCTTCATGAGGGGCATTTAGACTGCCAGTAACGTGGCAGTAGAGGTATCCAGTTAAGAGGCACTTCCTCCCTGATAAGGCCAGTCCCGGGAGTGAGTCTGGCCACTATTCCTGGATGCCAAGCAATGAGCCTGTTTCTCTAGGCACCCCGCAGTTCTGTGAGCTAATCTGATATCCTCTCATAATCCTGTTCTTAAACTAGCCAGGGGGAATTCTGTTTGAAACACAAAAATCTTAACACATACAAATAACTGTGTACTTAAGTTTAAAAAGAACAAAAGTAGTTTTATGGAACAAATGAACTTTAAAAAAAGCAAATCATTTAATTTAAATGAGATTTTCATAAAGCACTTAGCACAATGTGTGGCATATGGTGGTACTTGATAAATGCTGTTGTTTTAAAAGGAGATTGTTTTATTATTTTTATGGAAATGACACACCCTCACGAAAATTTGAGTAATTATAGAAAAATATACCCAAATACCACCTTGTAGAACATGATTCTAGATATCTTTGCCTAAAAATAGACGTAAGAAAGTAATAATAAAGAGATGGATGGCTGTAATCAGAACTAAAATTGCAAGAATAGGATCATAGTTAATGCTATTTTTAAAATAAAATTTAAAAATTAATTTTATTAGCATTTAATAAATGAAAAAGAAAAAGTAAAACCAAAGGAATTCCTGAAACAGAGATAAATACCTTTTTACTACACAGACCTTTCTGGTCTATAGAAAATTAAGAGGTATGCCAAATATAACTGGCATTCTAAGTGGAACAAGTATTTTCTCTCTCCCTGTCCCATTCTGTAAGAGATCATGCACAAATCTCATTTTGAGGAAGACTGCCCTTAAGAAACAATTCTTGCCAGGCGCGGTGGCTCACGCCTATAATCCCAGCACTTTGAGAGGCCAAGGCAGGTGGATCACCAGGTCAAGAGATCAAGACCATCCTAGCCAACATGGTGAAACCCTGTCTCTACTAAAAATACAAAAATGAGCTGGGTGTGGTAGGCACACGCCGGTAGTCCCAGCTACTAGGGAGGCTGAGGCAGGAGAATCACCTGAACCCAGGAGGTGGAGGTTGCAGTGAGCCTAGACAGTGCTACTGCATTCTAGCCTGGTGACAGAGCAAGACTCCATCTCAAAAAAAAAAGTCTTTGGCTTTCTTTTTACACACTATAAATCTTTATGAATACTTCCAATTCTTATAAAATATTGCACACTTTTTAATATTTAAATTTTGGGAGGGCAATAGCTATAAACTCTATACAGAGCTATCTCCCTAGTCTCTAGAACAATGCTTCCTATACTTTAATTACTGAGCAGATAAATGAATAAACAGATGCATAAATAAAATGAACAGATGAAAAGAACTTGGGTGTTGGAGTCAATAAATCTGGACCCAAACCCCTATTCCATAACTTTATAATTGTCTGACCCAAGGAAAGGTACTGAATCTCTTGGGTCGGTTTATTCATTGTAAAACAAGGATGGCAATATCTGCCTCACAAAGACATTACAGTTCCATGAGAGTGTGAGCTTAAAGAAGTCTGTTGAGTGAATGAATTAGTGTGAGGTCCTCACTATCTATAATGTGTGTTGATGTCTGAATCTAATTGGCCTGTGACTATCAGGCCTTTTTATTTATCTGGTTTTTATTGCTTTTCTGCAGCTTTGATAAGGTCATCCGTGGCACATGTCCCTGTTGTTAATGTTTCTCTCTCTAGCTGTGGCTTGTCTTTCCTAATTTATTTCTTTTACCTGCTTTAGAACAAAAAACCAGTTAACTAGAGTGTTCATAAACCAGATAATCAGGACTGTTAGATAAAGCAGGAGGAAGTAGGCTCTGTGCCAAGGTATGATAGACTCTGCTCTCAGTAAATGTCTTAATCCTTAGGAAATATTTATTTTTTGGTTTATAAAATGTAATTTTATTGTATGTTACTCTGCTGTTACATAGGGCATAACATTTTCACAAGGCTTTTTTTGGACTATGGTCGATGATTAGCAACACATGATAGTGGTCCAACTCTCTAAATAACAATCACTAGACGAGCTGGACACCCTCTCACATGTGCACAAATCTGCATGAAAAAGTACTAAAGTTTTAACTTGGACTTGTGTACTTAATTTCCCCTTTTTAGTGTATTAAGAAATGACATGCACGTTAATTTGCCAAAAGCAATGTTTGTATTCTGGCAGCAACATGCTTCTATTTACATAGTAAAGTGAATATCATATAAATAACTCCTATATCATATAAATAGAAGTTCACAAAAACTTCTATTTACATAGTAAAGTGAATATCAGGACTTACAAAGACAGGAGGTATACATGAATTTTTATTGGGAATGGAGGTTGTCAACTTAAACAGCAGCAAATAAAGAGTGAATAAGGAAACTTCCTGTTGCCACAGATATACATGACCTCCTTATGTGACACAGGAGGCATTTCAATTTGTTACCTCTAGGCAGAGATGGCAAGCGCTTTTCCATTCAGTCTAATACTTCTAGATTCCTACTAAAAAGGAATGCATTAAGAGCATGGAAAAGCAGCTTATCTAAAGGAAACCCCTGAAGAGCAAGGGAGGGAATGTAGAAATTAAGAAATTATGTGGAACACTCTTCAAATTTTAATTAACTACATTTTCATATCTTCACCGTAGTACAAAACACAGTCCCTTGCTGAACTGGTTCAGATTTATATGAAATGAAGCTATTAATCCTCTTCTACAGCGGTAACTGCACACCAGGAAGGCCAAGACAAACAAATCAAGGAATGAAGTTTTCCCAAAGCTGCAGTGTGAAAAGACTATAAACAGTTGATTCCATACACATGAATGGTTTCTTTGCTATAGGAAATCCAAGTGGAATAAGGAATGGAGATGTGTAAAAAGGTTTCTTGAAGGAAAGAGGAAGACACCCCGTATGGATTTAGTTTCCAGCTCCTTCTGCTGCATCACATTCTTCTCCTGCACTGTCTGATGTCCAAAGTGTTAGGTTGTCTCTAAGCAACCACATGATTAGAGTGCTGTCTTTGTAGGTGTCTTCATTCAATGTATCAAGTTCAGTAATGGCCTCATCAAAAGCCGTCTTAGCCAGCGTGTAGGCAAGCTCTGGATTATTAAGAGTCTCATAGTAAAATACAGAGAAGTTAAGAGCAAGCCCCAGGTGGATTGGGTGTTGGGTTGCATCTCTCTTGCATATATCAAATGTCTCTTGCTAAGCTCCTTGGGAATTATCTATGGTTTATTTTTGATCATCACCACATGCAACTTCAGCAAGGTACCGGAAGTAATCACCCTTCATTTTCAGAAAGAAGACCTTACTCTCTGGATTAGTTGCCTTGGCTATTAAGTATTTATCCAACAATTCCAGGAGGCCTCCACTTTCTCCATAGTCCTTAATCAGCTGCAACTTCTTGTCAGAGGTGCAGATCTTCTGCTCAATGCTCAAAATGACCCTCCAGGCGGCCCTGCAGCCCCTAATCACATTCTTGTAGGCCAGGCAGAGCAGGTTAGCGGGGTGGGGGAGGACGAAGAGTGAGGGCAAGCACACACTCCGAGTGGGAGGAGCCTTCAGAGCCTCATGTCTCTGTGGCTGTGACATGAGTCCCATCACTTATATCTGCTTTTGACTTTAGGAAATATTTAATATGACATTCGCTACTCAGATATTTTGTTTGTTTGTTTCTGTTGAATTTTAATGTGTTTTGAAGAGTTGCTGAGTGACTTTAAGATTTATAAACTATTACTGAAAGATTTTAACACTCGAAAACAATGCCCAGCAGATTCTAGTGACTATTAAAAAGACTGATAAACAAATTACAAATCAAAAGTTCCAAAAACCAAGAGCATCTATACAAATTAGGCCAGGTCTTTGCTCAAACAAAAATATTTAAAATTCAACTGTTCTCTTTCTTTCTATCTCAAGAACACTCCCATTTAGTTTTTAGATAAGATATGGTAAGTGAAGGAATTAAATGAATCAAAATTTCTGATCACAATATTTTAACATCACTAAGGACAGCAAAAACCATTTATAAACACAGGCTTTTTACTATTTCCCAATTAGAAGTTAGTTTTTAATTCTGTCTTTTCATAAATAGTAAAAGAAACAAGTTTAAAAACAGATTTAAGCAAACAAAGGACTCACACCAGAAATAAATAAAAATGGATAATAAAGACCTTTATGTGAATCGTGCAGAAAGTTTATTTACCTTGGCCAGGTTTCTCCACCAAATCCATAATGCTGATGTCCTTTGCCCATGACACGAGGAGGCTCACACTTTGGCCTGTGATCCTCAGGGAGTGAAATCGGTATTATCCCACCATATTCTCTTTCAGCTCCCCAAGGAAGCCTACATTGTTGAAGTGACTCCCTTAATTCCTGATACCTGTTAAAAAAGAGAGACTTTAAACAGCTTCAGCAACACAATGGATTCACAATTGCATAAAATTCCTACTGCTTCATAAGTATTTTCAGATTAAATCTTCAGAACACAGAATTTTCAGTGTCAGGTAGAGTATGATACTGGTTATTTAGGCATCATGGAACTGCTGAAAGAATGAGGTTAAATTTCTCAGGACTTACAGATTATCCTTTTTATGGTCATGAATTGTAGTGTGTTTATTTTTGATCTTTTTAACTTAAAAAAATTTATTTTTTTGAGACAGGGTCTTACTCTGTTGCTCAGGCTGGAGTGCAGTGGCATGATCCTGGCTCACTGCAGCCTCTGCCTCCTGGGTTCAAGCAATTCTCCCACTTACAGGTGAGTGCCACCACGCCCAGAGAATTTTTGAATTTTTAGTAGACACGGGGTCTCACCATGTTGGCCAGGCTGGTCTTGAATTCCTGACTTTACGATCCATCCCCCTTGGCCTCCCAAAGTGGTTGAGATTACAGGCATGAGCCCACCATGCCTGGCCATGTGTTTATTTTTATAAATATCTTTATTGAGATTTCATTCACATGCCACAGAATTCATCCATTTAAAGTGTACAATTCAGGCCAGGTGCAGTGGCTCATACCTGTAATCCAGCACTTGGGAGGCCAAGGCAGGAGGACTGCTTGAACTCAGGAGTTCAAGACCAGTTTGGGCAACATAGCAAGACCCTGTCTCTATTTTATACATTTATAATTAATTTAAAAATAATTAACTATAAATCATAATATATTATATTAATTTTATTAATTATATTAATAAAAAATTTAATTGTATTTTAAATTTAAAATATTTTAAATAAAAAATTTTATATTAATTATATTAATACAATTTTATTAATTATGCCATATTATAAATTTATAATTAATTTAAAAATAATTATAAATTATATTAACATAACATATACATTTTAAAATAATTAATCAATGGCTTTAAAGCTTATTTACAGTTACATGTGAGCATCCCCATAGTCAACTTTACAACATTTTCATCATTTCAAAACAACCCTGTATTCTTAAGCCATCATCCCCTATATTCCCCACCCTTACCCTATCCCTCAGCAACTATTATACTAATCTACTTTCTGTAGATTTGCCTATTTTGGACATTTCCTGTAAATAGAATATAAAATATGTGGCCTTTTGTGATGGGTTTCTTTGACTTGGCATAATGTTTTCAAGGTTCATCCATTTTGTAGTACATGTCCATACTTTATTCCATTTATGTATGTATGTATTTATTTGAGATGGAGTTTTGCTCCAGTTGCCCAGGCTGGAGTGCAATAGCATCCAGCCTCCGCCTCACTGCAGCCTCCGCCTCATGGGTTGCAAGTGATTCTCCTGCCTCAGCCTCCTGAGTAGCTGGGATTACAGGTGCCTGACACCATGCCTGGCTAATTTTTTGCATTTTTAGTAGAGACAGGGTTTTGCCATGTTGGACAGTCTGGTCTCGAACTCCTGACCTCAGGTGATCCCCCTGCCCCTGCCTCGGCTTCCCAAAGTGCTGGGATTACATGCATGAGCCACTGTGCCTAGCCTTTCCTTTTAGTGGCTATCTAATATTCTACCATATAGATATATCACATTTTGTTTCACCATTCATCAGTTGATGGATATTTGGGTTGTTCACAAGACCTTTTAGCTCTTGTGAACAATGCTGCTATGAATATTCATGTTCAAGTTTTTGTTTGAATACCTGTTTTTAATTATTTGGGGAATTAAATTAGAAGTGGATCATATGGTAATTCTGTTTGTTGAGGAACTGCCAAACTGTTTTCTACAGTAGCTGCTCCATTTTAGATTCCTACTAGTATTGTATGAGGGTTCCAGTATCTCCACATGTTTACCAATGCTTGTTATTTTCTGTAAAATTTTTTTAAAAAAATTATTGCCATTCTAGTGGTCATGAAGTGGTACCTAATTAGACTTTTTTTTTTAAAAGATGGGGTTTCACCATGTTGGCCAGGCTGGTCTCGAACTCCTGACCTCAAGTGATCCACCCACCTCGGCCTCCCAAAGTGCTGGGATTACAGGCGTGAGCCACCACGTCTGGCCCCTAATTACGGTTTTGATTTGCATTTCCCCAATGACTAATAACGGTGAGCATTTTTTTCCATGTTCCTATTGGCAATATCTTTGTTGGAGAAATATATATTCAGATCCTTTGCAATTTTTGTTATTTGTCTTATTTTTGAGTTATAAGAGTTCTTGGCCAGGCGCGGTGGCTCATGCCTGTAATCCCAGCACTTTGGGAGGCTGAGGCGGGTGGATCACGAGGTCAAGAGATTGAGACCATCCTGGCCAACATGGTGAAATCCCATCTCTACTAAAAAACACAAAAATTAGCTGGGCGTGGTGGCACACGCCTGTAGTTCCAGCTGCTTGGAAGGCTGAGGCAGGAGAATTGCTTAAACTCAGGAGGTGGAGGTTGCAGTGAGCCAAGCTCGAGCCACTGCACTCCAGCCTGGAGCTTGGCAACAGAGCAAGACTCTGTCTCAAAAAAAAAAAAAAAGCTTGTATCCTAGATACAAGCCCCTAGATACAGGTATAACAGGCAAATATTTTCTCCTATTCTGTGCATTTTCTTTTTACATACTTGACAGTGTCCTTGAAAGCAAAAAAGTTTTTTAATCTTGACGAAGTTCACTTGATCTGTTTTTCCTTATTTTGCTTATGCTTTTGGAGTCATATCTAAGAACACAGTTCCAAATCCAAGACCATGAAGATTTGCTGTTATGTTTTCTTCTAAGTATTTTACAGTTTAGCCCTTATGCTTAGGTGTTTGATTCAAGAGGAGTTAATTTTTGGATACAATATGGGATAAGGGATCTCATGCATTTATTCTTTTGCATGTGGATATCCAGTTGTCCTAGCTCTATTTGTTGAAGTCCTTCTTCCTCATTAAATGGTCTTAGCTACAGATTAACTTTGGATTTTCAAAAATGAAGAATATTGTAAAGGAATATTTCTAATCTTGCACAGGAGCGACTTGCTCCTAAGTTTTATCTAGAACTAGTATAACAGTTGTTCTCAAAGAATGGTCCCTAGACTAGTAGCATAAGCAACTCCTAAGAGCTCCTTAGAAATGCAAATTCTCAGGCTCCGTCTCAGGACCTAAGAATCAGAATCTCTGGGGAAGGGGTCCAATAATGTTTTAAGAAGCCCTCAGTAGGCCGGGCGTGGTGGCTCACACCTGTAATCCAAGCACTTTAGAGACCAAGGTGGGTGGATCACCTGAGGTCGGGAGTTCAAGACCAGCCTGATCAACATGTGAAACTCCACCTTTAAAAAAAAAAAAGAAGCCCTCCGGGTGATTCTTGTGCATGCTAAAGTTTTAGAAGCATTATCCTTTTCAAGTTACCTTCCATGGTCATCATGTCTCCAAGTTCCACCCCTTACAACAGTAGTATGCAGAGGACTGGAGATATGGGGGTTTCCTAAATTGGTTGGTAGGGCTTATCTAATCTTGAAACTGGTAGCTCAGATGATTTTATCTGCTTTTTCTTAACAAAGGAGTGAAGGGCAGGGACTCTATTGGTTCACTATTGTAACCATGCTTTACTCCATTGCCTGGCACACAGTGCCTGGCACACAGGAAGCACCCAATGAATACTATTGAATAAATGGGTCAGGCCAAAGAGATGGATTTGTTTCCTATACTGCTTTCTGTGAAGGAATGAAATCTTCTGGTTAGGGAGACAGCCTCAAAAAAAACACCCACAAACGTATCTCGCAAAAGTTCTGCTTCCTAATTAGGAAGGATTTAATGACTTTCAGTTTCCAATAATGGTAGCCTAGGTTATTTGGGCCAAACTTTCCACTGAAAACAACTAAAAATACTGTGAGGAGAAAAAAGAAATCGTAAAAACTAGTTTTTTGACAAGTCAGAAAGGGATGAATGCTACAAAGAGGAGAAATAGGAACCCAGTGAAGTAAACAAGCATGGAAGCCACCTTTGCCTTAGGGCAGGGCCAATCCCGGCAAATTTACATTTTTGTTTTAAGGGCCTTGAAAGGTGAGGGATATGGAAACTAGCCAAGTGAAGATCTAAAAAATCATCTACACAAGAAGCTGGAACCCTAAAACGCTTACCCTCTCATGTTCAAGGTGAGTCGGAAGTTAAGCAGCTCTCTTGTGGCACCAGTTTGCATTTACCCTAAACTTGCACTTGGATTTAAGTGGTCCTGGATTGGTATTACAGTATATATTGCTCTAAGGCACTTTGCAGGACAAACAAATCCTTTCAGGAGGAAGGATTCTTAGGGGAATCACAAGATGAGTTCTAAAGGATGAGTAGGAGTTATTTAGAGGAAAGAGAGGAAATACTGAGGCATACAAGGGAATAACAAGTAGAAAGGCCTAGAGTTTAGTAAAGTTATTGATTTGAAAATTCCTGACAGTGTTGGCTCCAGTCTAAAATCTCTCTTAGGGAAGAAATTACTTTTGTTTTGTAAAATATTTTGCTAAACCACTTGGTGTAGACAGAGACTCTGAAAGTACGGGTGTTGCTAGGAGCTCAAGCAAGCTCAGACTGATTAAACTGCTCTGCAGTGGGAGAAAATTGTTTGTTTGCTCTTGAAAGAGGGAGAGGAGAGGAAAGGAGAGTAAGGGAAGAGGGCGAAGAGAGGAGCCAGCAGGATGGTGAGGCTGCAGGGGACTGCAGTGGTTGAAAACCCAGTGAGAAACCCTTGGTGACAGCTGGTTAAAGACTTTTTTTTCTTTTTGAGATGGAGTCTCTGTTGCCCAGGCTGAGGTGCAATGGCACAATCTGGGCTCACTGCAACCTACACCTCCCAGGTTCAAGTGATGCTCCCAGCTCAGCCTCTGGAGTAGCTGGGACTACAGGCACGTGCCATCATGCCCAGCTAATTTTTATATTTTAGGTAGAGACGGCGCTTCACCATGTTGGCCAGGCTGGTCTCGAACTCTTGACCTTGTGATCTGCCTGCCTTG